TACGTGGAGTGGTGATGGTGGGGTCCACGTTTTCTAAGGGGTTCCAAAGTCATTTATTATTTATTTCAGTATATGCTTTTAATAACTCTGCAATTTCCAGGGGGTCTGGACCCCCACCCACCCCCCTCTAGATCCGCGCATGTTATATGAATATTTTCGGTATTGGCTGGAGAAATTTCCGGTAATAAAATGCATCTCAGGTGAGGAAGAGGGTGCGGAGGTGGCAATAACACTTTCTTTATATTTCCATCTGCTCCTTGCGTATCAAGTACATAGTAAATAAACACCGACTTCAATAAATCTAATTTCGTGTCTTACAGATTTCTTTTTACTTGTCACACAAGGTATTTACCACATACATGTACAGTTTGTACGTAGTGTTGATGACACCCTTTCTTATTTTTAAGATTATTTTCCCAATACATTGTATGAATACAGAAACAAATACCCCTCTTTTTCATGTACCGGTATATGAAACAAAGTCTACGGATACAGTACAACTAATGATCATTCTAATAACATAACATTTTTGTGACATATATGGATAATAAATCTGACCTCATATCTTTTGATTGTATGTGGCAAATATATTCTAGATAAATATACATCGTACTTCCATTATACATTCAGATTCGTCACTGCCTTTTATAAAAGAATCGTCCTACGATTTTCCAAGACCTTGATATAAAATAAGAGGCCCATAGGCCACAACGCTCACATTAGTCAATATAACCCTGCTGTTTTTCATCAGCAGATTTATTCTAACGTATCTTCCTATGTAAAACATTAATCCCTATTGTGACTCCACCCTACCCCAGGTGTCGTGATTTTTATAGATGTAGCGCTAGTCCCACCCTACCCCTCGGGGTCATGATTTAAACAAACTTGAATTTACACTACCTCAAGATACTTCTATATCAATGTGACTAAACATGGTTTTGTTGTTAATGAAAAAAAGGTTTTAGAATTTTTTTCTTATACATTCGCATGCTAAACTCTGATTAGTGCATTGTGGCCCAATCTACCCCTAGGGGTCATGGTTTGATTGATTGATTAGGGTTTAACGCCGAGTCGGCAATATTTCAGTCATATTTTGGCGGAAAATTAAATTTATATATGACCGGTTATTATGGTTTGAATAAATTTGAATCTACAATACCTGAAGATGTTTCCATATCAATCTGACTAAAGATGGCTTTGCTGTTCTTGTGAAGAAGATTTTTGAAGATTTTTCGATATATATATCCTATGCAAAACTTTGATCCCCCATTGTGACCCCACCCTACCCTGGGGGTCATGATTTGAACAAACGTACATCTACACCACCTGATGATGCTTCCATATTAATATGACTAATCATGACATTACTGTTCTTAAGAAGAAGATTTTTGAAGACTTTTTCCTAAATATTCCTATGTAAAACCTTATTCGCCCGTTTTGATCCGTTTTGATCTATCTATTACAAAGCGAATATTATAAACAGGGTTCTTTTCTGTAGCATAAAAACTAGAGAAAGGGGCAGGGCGGACCTTAAAACGCAAATAATGAAAGGTGCGCCCTCTATATTTCAGATATCTTACTGTTAGAAAGCAAACATTTTGGGCAGGGTTTATTTCCGTAACATAAAAACAAGTAAAAATGGCAGGGCGGACCTTAAAACGCAGTATAATAAAAGGTCCGCCCTCTATATTTCAGATATCTTTCTATTACAAGGCGAAAATTTGAACAGGATTTATTTTCGTAGCATAAAAACTAGAGAAAGAGGCAGGGCGGAACTTAAAACGAAGTATAATAAAAGGTCCGCCCATTGTATTTCAGATATCTTACTATTACAGGGCGAAAGTTTATTTTCGTAGCATAAAAACTAGATAAAGAGGCAGGGCGGACCTTAAAACGCAGTTTAATAAAATATCCGCCCTCTATATTTCAGATATCGTACTATTACAAGGCGAAAATTTTGAACAGAATTTATTTTCGTAGCATAAAAACTAGAGAAAGAGGCGAGGCGGACCTTAAAACGCAGTATAATAAAAGGTCCGCCCTCTATATTTCAGATATCTTACTATTACGAGGCGAAAATTTTGAACAGGATTTATTTTCGTAGCATAAAAACTAGAGAAAGAGGCGGGGCGGACCTTAAAACGCAGTATAATAAAAGGTCCGCTCATTGTATTTCAGATATCGTACTATAACGTACGAGGCGAAAATTTTGAACAGGGTTTTATTTTCGAAGCATCAAAACTAGAGAAAGAGGCAGGGCGGACCTTAAAACGCAGTATAATAAAAGGTCCACCCTCTATATTTCAGATATCTTACTATAACAAGGCAAAAATTTTGAACAGGGTTTATTTTCGTAGCATAAAAAACTAGAGAAAGAGGCAGGGCGGACCTTAAAACACAGTAAATAAAAGGTCCGCCCTCTATATTTCAGATATCTTACTATTACGAGGCGAAAATTTTGAACAGGATTTATTTTCGTAGCATACAAACTAGAGAAAGAGACAGAGCGGACCTTAAAACGCAGTATAATAAAAGATCCGCCCTCTGTATTTCAGATATCTTACTATAACAGGACGAAAGTTTATTTTCGAAGCATAAAAACTAGAGAAAGAGGCAGGGCGGAACTTAAAGCGCAGTATAATGAAAGGTCCGCCCTCTATATTTCATAAATCTTACTATTAGAAAGCAAACATTTTGGACAGGGTTTATTTCCGTAACATTAAAATAGAGAAAAAGGCAGGGCGAACCTTAGAACGCAGTATAATAAAAGGTCCGCCCTCTGTTTTTCAGATATCTTTCTATTACAGGGCGAATATTTTGAACAGATCTTTCATTAAAACTCGTTAAAATGGCAGGGCGGACCTTAAAACACAGTATAATAAAAGGTCCGCCATCTGTTTTTCTTTTTTCCCAGATACATGTACCGGGTATCTCACTGTTACAAATCAAAAATTATGGAAATGCTTTCAGTTCTTATCGTTTTTTTTTTCTTTGTTGGTTCGAGCGTTTTTCCAGGGTAAAAAGATTATTAGGTTTTTAATTTTAGGATGGACGCTAAATTAACTTAGAAAACTCTCCGAATGGCCAAATTGTGCATAAGAATTGCATATTCTACATGTAGTAGTGTACTTTTTTTTCATTTATGCTGACAAAAAGACAAAACTTTAATGTCAATTAATTATCCATTCTATGAACATTTGCAGGAGATGTGTCTACTGTATTTTATATCTATATGCAATCATGAACATCTGTCTGAACGGACCAAGGATTATGTATTTTTATTTAATTAGTAATTTTGATGACGTGCAACAAGAGAACTATTATCCCCCCCCCCCCCCAACACACACACATAAATAAGAAAGAAATAGCCTCTAAAAGTCGTAGAAAATCTAATTTAAACCAAACTCAAAATCAAAATAAATATAAAAAAATATTAACAAAAGAACACGACTTGGTGGTGTTTTATGAATTTTTATATCAGTCACGATTTCAACAGACACTTTCCTTTTTATTTTTGGGGAAATACATGTCAAGTTGCTCTGTAAAACCCCTCTGTAAATAGTATGGGTGGAAAAGAGTCTCCCTAGGAAGAAGGTGGAGTAGTGAGGGATCTTTATCGTGCCAACGCCTGCCGTGACACGGGGCCTCGGTTTTTAAGGTCTCATCCGAAGGACCCGCAACTTTCACTTCAAAGTGCCGAGCGCATGGCGAAGGAACAATTGCTATCTATTTTTTATCGACTTAGGTCAGTCGCGGCAGTGATTCGAACTCATGACCTTCCGATCACGGAGCAAGCGCTCTACCGACTGAGCTATCATGACGGTAATATGTAATCTGAGAGAAGATGTCCCTCAGCAATTTCTTTCTTATCATTAAAACATGCAATGAAAACATATTAGGTGAAAATATATCAACTTACGCCTGAGAATCTTCCTATATAATTACAATGTCAGAAACCTTGAAGACGACTGGCCAGGAGGACTTTAATATAACCATTATTAAAAAAAAAACCATCATCAGTTTAGCGGACCGACCGATAATTTACTTCAAAATAAGCGATAATTTATTATAAGCGATTTCAATATAAGTGGAGTAGGCTGTAGACTTTTTTCATTGAAGTAAAAATAGCAAATGTATTTAGGGAAGTATAAAATACCTTGGAGTTCAAAGGTTTTCGGATGAATTGGGTTTCAAATATTAATACATGTACTTACAAAATTAATGTCAGTTCAATATTTTGAAAGTTTAAAACTTTGAAAATTCGCTATAAAAGATTTAAATTTCGTTATTTTCACCCTCGAGGGGGAATCAAAATCAGTTCGCTAAAACCGTGAATTCGCTATATCCGAGTTTGTTAAAACCGTAAAATTTTACAATAGATTATCAATATGAGTTTCGCCGGGGACTGCAAATAACGTCGATATGTCCATAATTTCGCTATATCCAGGTTTTACTGCATTTTACTAGAAAAAAGACGTTAATGGTAACTATTGATGACTTAAGATTTTCTATCGTCGACTTTCCTTATTTATGTAGCAATGTACCATTATCACCTGCATATGGAATTTAAGTCTCCCAGTTAATTCGATACGCAAGAGTATGCCCTACGTAGAAACGATCTCTAAAACAAAGTGAGCCACATGACACATAAGTTTATGAAACAAGAATTCTAACATACAGTTAAAATAACGAGCCTTGCAAACAAAGACGATTTATAAAACCGAATACACTTTAACTCGAACAAGGTTCTTTATTTTAATTTAATTTTCATTTTTAAATCATAAAATTGAATAAGAATATCCGTATTTTTGATAATCCTTGCGTTGTTGCCCATTATTGTATATACCCATTCCTAATTCAAAGTTGTTTGTATTAATCGGTATCCTCCATATATTTGATGTTCTTCAATCTTCCATAGTTCATTTCTACCAGCCACAATCTGTCTTCATTGTCGACACTCACTCCTGCAGGTTCACTCAGTCCACAACCATCTATAAGTATCAGTCCAAGATATACACACAGTCATTTCTAGAATCAGACACCAAAACTTGACCTTGACTGTCTGTTGTAATATTGTTTGGATCAAAGGGGTTTTGTAAAACGTTGCAACCGTCATATCTTGATTTCAGTTCTCCCTGTTTAGTTAGGATAAGAATCGATTCTGCATTAAAATCACGAACACAGATATCACCATTTATATTGTCAGCAATTTCTAAGGAAGATTCTCTCCCACTTTGAAACAGTTGCTGCATATTTTCGTCATATTGGATTTCCTGTTTTATTAAGGTGCCAGAGTATCGAACTAATTTAAGCATTTTTAAGATAGTGTTAGAATTATAACTCTCATTGCATAAAGCTACCAATATGTCTCCTGATGATGTTAAACAAATGCCACTTGGATACCAGTCTGTCAAGATAAGCACGTCCACTTTGCAATCCTTTGCCAGATTAATAGTGCATAAATCAAATTCAGTGTAAAGGAGATCTCCGTCTCTGGACACTGCCATGCCCGAAGGAAAGTTTCCAGACTTAGTTTTCACCCTCTTTAAGATTGATCCATTTTCATCGACCTGTGTTATGATACCTGTATTTCCATGTATCCAGGCCTGATTCACTCCTACACAGCTTACTTCATAGACTAGAAGGCACATTGTGTCTGTAGCAGCTATAGTTACAGGTTGGTTCAGTAGCTTCCTGTTATGAATTCTAAAAAGAGAATTCTTTCGTCATTTCGTTCATAACTTTGCCTTCTATTACTCTTACCAATTCTGTGGACGGGTGTAGGTTACCTACTAAGATTGCTATTTCTCCTGCATTTACGGATGCTGGTGTAAATCTTCCTGGTGTTATTTTAATCAGCTCAGGTTTTTTTATTACTAGGTTTTGCAGCTGTGACTGGAAATTGATTATATCACTTTGTTTGCTCTGTAGTAGCTCCTTGTTCCTTTTAATAATTTCTTGTACAGCTGACAAAAAATTCTGGAACTCGGAAAGATTCTTCTTCATCTTTTTTAAATCCTGGTTTTCCATGATATCAACGTCGGAAAGAAGTTTATTAATGACCCTGTCTACTATTCTGTGTAATTCTTGACTATGCTTAGATATATCCAATTTCAAATTCGCATTGCTCTTTGGAAAATCCAAAATAGACTCCTCTATTTCTTCAATAATCCTTTTGTATCGTGGACAAATTTTCTCTTCAAGAAAATGTGTTTCTCTGGATATGATGTCTTTCTTTTCTTTATAAACACTTGTTGTCTTTCTCATTTCATGATGAACATGTTTCTTTGCGGCAATGCAATCGGTACAGACAGGAATATCGCACTGCTGACAAAAGAGGTCACATTTCTGGTCAGGGTGGAAACGACATAATGGCTGTGGCGTTTCGTTATATTTGAGAGAATACCTAATCACGTCATGTCTCTGAGAAGGAAGTGACAATATGTGCTGACCAACACACACTTTACACAGGTTAACATTACAGTTATTACAGAAAAGTTCTGCTTTTTTCTTGGAACAGTGATTACAGGTGATTAAAACCTGGGCAAATCCCATATCTGGGTCTTTAGGGGTAGCCATCTTGCTTTTTAAATGATAGCCTATAAATAAAATAACATCATTAATAGAAAATACCACTTTTTTCTCTTTTCGACTTTCTTTGATGATTTAACAAAACAAAAATAGTTTAAACTTGATGAGGTAAATAAAATCTTAAATTTACTTAATCTCTTTGCGAGTATTCCGCTTTACCTGTTTTCACTTTGCACAATCAACACGTAATTTAAATACTTTGATATGGAAGGACAGAGGTGTCTTATGTGGTTTTAAATAAGTACTACTTGATGTATTTCATGACTAAAATATTATTTTGTTTTATGTGATAAAGATATATCATTATGCTAGGGTAATGTATAAAATGCTTTTTTCTATACTGGAAGGTGGATTGTGTCATATTATGTAGTCACAGTTTGTTATATGCTATATCTTTCTCTACATTTAATGGATTGTTTTATTTAATGGGTGTTTTGTATTTCATGCATAAATAATTCTTCAAGGAATCGTACATTGCATTGATGAAATATATGGAGATAACGAACAGTATTCAAGCTCAAAAGTCCATTAAACATTACAAGATAGGTGCAGAGCAAACACGGACCTCCAAAACATCAGAGGTGGGATCAGGTGCCATGGAGGAGTGAGCATCCCCTGCCGACGGTTACACACGCCGTGTGCTTCTTATCATGATCGGGAAATAACGGAAAAATCCGTTGACAATTCAGTATGTAAATAATGGTCTAACAAATAGTATGAAAAAAGTCAGTCAGCATTTGACTTTATGATAGATTGTATTTGCTGACAGTTCATTATATCGACCATAGAACTTACGAAATGATGACTTTAAACGAGACTGTTGATATTCTTGTTTCATCAACTTGTTCGTCAATAACTTACCTCGTTTTAGAAATTGTTCACACGTAGAGCATGCTCTGGCGTATCGAATCAACCGAGAGATATAAACCCCGTATGCAGGTGAGAAGTCGATTGAAAGGTTAAAGTCATCACGTTTATCATAAAGCTTTGTTGTTAGATTACTATTAACGTCTTTTTCTAATAGAGTATCCAAATATGAAACAGATGTGTCAGACTATGTGGTATCTTTTATCTCAAGCTCACCGGGATATATCGTGTCATTAACAATATACCATTGTTAATTGACAATACGTCGTCGATATATCTAAATGTCGAATTGAAGGCCACAGCAAATGTTTTCTTCTTTTCACGTAAAAGATTTTGAACAAATTCTGCTTTATATGAATACAAAAATAGGTCTGCTAATAAAGGGGTGCAATTGGTACCCATGGGAATTCCAATAGATTGTTGGAAGACCTGGTCTCCAAAAACCACATAGATGGTAAGCTAACAAAAAAAACTTTATGATAAACATGATGACTTCAACTTTTTTATCGATATCTTCCCTTACTTATGTAGCAATATCCCTTATCACCTGCATATGGAGTTTTTGTCTCCCAGTTGTTTTGATATGCAAGAACATGCTCTACGTACGAACAATATCTAAAATGAGACAAACTATTGACAAACAAGTTGATGAAACAAGAATATCAACAGTCTCGTTTGAAGCCAACATTCCACAAATTATATGATCGATACAATGTCCTTTTCAACGAATACAATCTAACATTAAGTCTAATGATGACTGAAGTTTTTCATATTAATTGTTATGACATTATTTTCACTCTGAATTGTCTACAGATCTTCCCGATCATGACAAGGAGCTCACGGCGGGTGTGACCGGTCGATAGGGGATGCTTACTCCTCCAGGGCACCGGATCCCACCTCTGATATTTTAAGTCCGAGTTTCCTCTGCTTCAAGTTTGCACTTTCGAGCGTGATTACTGTTATCGCCATATTTCATTAAGTTAAATTATCATATTTATATTTTAAAGTACCTTATTTAATCTATTGAAGTAAAGAGATAATTTTTCTTAATTTTTATCTTAAATAAAACCACATGGAGGTATTTATATTGTGTTTCTTGAGTCATTTATAGATGTATGACATTACAGATTGCTATATAACCCATATTCCTATCTATTTATTTCTTGCGTGGTGTCAGGTACAGCTTCACATCAGTGTTTTCTTAGTTTCCCTCTTTTCCTACTGGTGTAGAACTACAACTTCTACTTTTCTACCTCCTATCTGCATGAATGTCGAGTTAAAAGCCATAACAAGAGTTTTCCTCTAGTGTTAAAACTATTTGAATAAATTCTGCTTCATTGGATTATAAAAATTCATCTAAAAAGGAGCACAATTAGTGCTAATCGAAATTCCATCAGATTGTTGGAAGACCCTGGTCTCCAAAGATTATATAGGCATTGACATTGAGAAATTCCAGTATCTTTTTATATTAACTTCAGTCTATTGATGTTTTAAAAGTTTTAAGATTTTAATTTACCACACTGTTTTTGGAGTTTTTGAGAATTTACATTGGATTTTCCCCACTTCTCGAATATGCTGTAGCACATTACGTATAGCAATACAAAGCAATGTGTAGTAAAACTATTATAAAAAAAATCTGTTCAGTAGTTAGTTACTGGCTACATTCATGCAGTAGCGAACGAATCAACCTTGCTTAATCATGACTGCTTCCGGGCAGATAATACAAACTTTTAAAAAAAAATCATGAAAATAACAACTGAACCACCGAACCATGTTTATATAAGTAAATGAATAATTTTAACCACACATATTTTAATTTTTCATTCAAGGTTTCACAATAATGTCTTACAAAGTAATAAAAAGTATGGATTTATAAGGGTGATGCAAAAAGGTAGAATTTTGAACAGCATGAAAGTTTACAATTTCTTTATATTTTAGGAATGAAATTTTTACAACATTTACAATCAAAATATGTTCAAAAATATATATTAATCCTGGCGTCCAATTCTTTGTTTGTATCATCTACCCTTAAGCTGAAATGAGGCCTCGAAGAGGATTTAAATGCATGTTTTCAAAGAAGTGTATGGGAAAATTGTTTGAAAATTCTCTCTCACAAGAACCACAAGTTATCTAAGACTTCCTTGCATGCATATTCGTATTCAAATTTGTTCAAAGGCCTCTAGTACATAGATATGGCCCACACAGGCTTCCTTGTTTATAATGTAATAATACTGTCTCTAAGCAAGATGGAGGCGTAAAAGGCGAGGTCAATCCCCCGATCTGGGACAATTTCAAATGAAAGTTACATTTCCCCCAAAATGTGTTAATACTAATGTCATCTTTATAAACACAATTGATGTCTTATTCTATTGAGTAACTTATTAACTGTTAATTTGTTTTTAATTGTTGTTTTACGGTATGTGATATATAAAAAAGAAAGAAAGCTAAACAGGATTTACAAACTTTACAGTACAGTTTGACCACTACGTCACAAAGACAAATCTATCAACCGTATCTGAGTGGCTTTCGGTAAAAGAATTTGTTAAAATACAATTTTTTTTCATAAAAGTTCGATCTTTATATAGAAAGGGTTCAGACTCCATTTTTTAAAAAAAATATGAAGTAGATTTTGCGTTCATTTTTTCCGTCGTTAAGCGTTTATGTAGAATGGAGACTTGACCCATTCATACTCAAAAATCATTTTTAGGGCTATAAAAAACCCCATTTACCACTAAATATGATGAACTGTTAACTTCAGAACAAACTTATCAATTTATAAATTATTCAACAAAATAAACGAATCAAATCTGTTAATTATTACATTGCTGACAACACGATTTTTGAAAAATATAATATTTCTGTCAACTCTGAAAATTGAGAAACATGTTGTCTCGAAGTGGGGGATTGTCCTCGCCTTGTTTCGTACGAACTACAAAGAAAACGTCGCTCTCTCATGTTATTTTTACGAAATTTATGATCATCACAGTATCAAACGTAAAATAATTATTTTGTGGATGTTTTCAGTTTCATATTATTTTATCAAATGGAACCCACTCTTACATTATTTTGAAATTAACTTGTTTTGTAACGACAGAGCACTCTCCTCAAAATAACGTCAAAAGAAAAATGTGATAACAGTTTCTCAAAAATATATCACCTCTACATTTCACACAAGTAATTGGCGCCTTAAACATTTATATAGAAAAGCTTCTGTGCTATTTTATACTTAGTTTGCTTATAATTAATTATTCGAGTATCAAGATAATTCGTTAATGTCTTTATTCATTTTTTACCGCGTAATTCTGCTTTCACTAATGTCGTTTACTAATTATTGAATTAGAGAATTTCTAATTCAATAATTAGTAAACGACACTAGTTCCGCAACCGTGAAGCGCGTATCCCTTTCCATGACGTTAAGTACATAAATATGTACTAAGATTTTTTACCAGAGTTTTCCTTGGAGCCGTTCAATGTCCAACACAATCTCTTACACTCAAAAAAAAAAAAAAAAAAAAAAAAAAAAAAAAAAAAAAAAGCTAGACTTTTTGAACAGGGTTAACTCCTGATGTATTTTTTTCTTCTTCTTCCAGCTTTTTCTGAATTTGTTGTGGAAATTTCCCGAATGCAACACAAAATTGCGGATATATACTACTAGCTGCCCCGTGATGTCATCTTTTTTTCCAATAAGGACTACTTGTTTCCTGCAATTGATTTCTGTTCAATGACATCACAATTTGGCACATGAAATGGTGTAACCGTAACTATAGACATTTTATATACATGTATATAACGCTTACTCTACTAAATTTTGACTTGCTCTGTGATCCCATGTTTGCAGTTTTATATTTCAAATAATTTTAAAATGTAGAATTTTTTATTCAAATTATTCGGATTTATTGTGAAATTGTCTCGTTTAAAGTCAGAATTTCGTAAGTTTTATGGTTGATACAATGACCTGTCAGCAAATACAATCTTTCAATAAGTCGAATGCTGACTGACGTTTTTCATACTAATTTTTAGGCCATTATTTACACACTGAATTGTCGACGGAATTTTCCATTATTTCCCGAACATGACAAGGAGCACACGGCGGGTGTGACCGGTCGGCAGGGGATGCTTACTCTTCCATGTCACCTGATCCCATCTCTGATGTTTTAGAGGTCCCTGTTTGCTCTGCTCCTATTTTGTATTGTTTAAATTAACGGACTTTTGAGCTTGAACATTGTTCGTTATCTCCACATATTTCATTTCAAATTTGGTCATAATATTACGTAAATAAAAAAAGTAATGACAAAATTATACGTATTTTTTGAATGACCCTCTTATGTCCTCACTCTTTGGCATGCATTTCAGATTGGTTTAAGTAGCATCACTGAAAACAGGACTGATACAAAAATAGTAAATGGACAATATTTAAGACCCGACTTCCCTATAACAAATGCTAACTTTTTAAAGTCAAGATTGCATTTTCACATTCCATCCTAAATTTCTAGAATACACAATCCATCAGTAGTAATATATGGTAGACTTCCTTACAGTTTGATTCCCAAGCATCAAATTATATTTCACACCTGCCTGTCATATTCCTTTTTTTTGTAAGGATTAAGACTACTGAGGGAAGTGTCTCCAAAGTATGAAGAAGTGTGTTCCCTTAAAACTGACCAAAGTCAGATTTTATCTCCAAGCATGAAGAGATTTAATATTCAAAACATTGCTCTCTAGTGACAACTTTATATTTTAATGATACAAAGAATTATGTTTTCTTCTCTAGCAGTTAACTTTAATTTTGTTTACTGACATAATCTACTGGGTAGTTGCCATGAAATCAAATTCTGTGCCTCTAATCTACTATATAGATGACCCTCAAATTTTGAACAGTCTGATTTTATTTTAGAGCATTTCAACTGGTTCATTATTTGAATAATTGTATGGATGGAATTCACATTTAACACTGATTTATTTTATAGACTGAAATATGAGAAAATAGGCATAAATTAATATTTGAATTTTATGTTGCACTCTCTAAATTTTGTACAGATTGCACTCGTATCTTATCCTGTATTGGATATTGTTCTGAGTGATAATTTTTAAATTTCTATAAAATTGACATTCAACAATTATTGTCATTAAAACAGTAAAAATATGTACAATAATTGGCATAAAACAAAAATCTCTATAATGAAGTCTTCCAATACAAAATCCTGAGAAAACATTTGTTTAAGAGTACTTCATACAGTCTCACTATCCCCCCCCCCCCCCCCCTTATTTTTGTTTGGTCTTGCTTCACTTCTCTGTGATGTGGACATCCTGGAGGTAGAGTTCCCCTTTCTGTGTTATAAAATCCACACAGATATGGTTATCTTCTGCGATGGTGGTCAGCTTAAACTCATTTGGCCGTACTTCTGTGTCAAAAAGAAAAAAGGACTTGTATAACAGGGATTGGGTCAAATACTTTCATAAGCTGTCATTTAAATTGTGATTAGTAAATGATCATAAGCTGATTACATCTATTTTAAAAGTAACTGGTTACATTAGATTACTTTTCCATCTTGTAATTCATGATTATTTAGGATTCATCTCTTATACATTATTTTTTTTTTTTAATTATTTGTTCAATTATATGGAAAGAAAGAGGGAAAATTTATATCATGGAATCATATTTTCTATTAGACATAAAAACAAGTTTAAGGTTGCTATACATGGACAAATTTTATACAATATCATTTAAAAAATACTCTACTCAGAATAACAGAAACAATGTAAAACTATCCAGATCTCAAGAAATTTCTCAGCTACCAATTCAAGTACATGTAATTAACAATAGATGTAAACGTGCTATTTACAGTAGTTAATTTGACTTCTACTTCTGTACCTTGAATATCATGAACATGTATCCCAGAATTCCTGAACACAGAGGCAAGACGATTGGTCGAATCAGTACAAGACAGAAGAAGAAGACTGGAGCCATCACTGTAATAATTAAACACATGAAATTAAAATATCAAAGCAGAATTTATCATTAATCTTTTCACTCTGACTATACTGATGTAGTGTACACGTATATTCATGCAGCAAGTCAAATAATGTAAGATATTTAAGTAAGTGGCAATATTTATTTTTCAGACAGGACTTCTTACAGATTAGGAGACCTGAACAGGTCAATAAGGAGCAGGTTTAATCAACAATCCTCACATTACAAGCCATTGCTAAATGAGATTTACATTTACTTACCAGATAGCAGAATAGAATAATTTTCCTGAAATCAGCCTTGTTAGATAGTGAAGCCAAGTTATACTACAATTTATAAGATTTTTGTGCTTCTACAGATTTTATATAATTGTCGAATTACGAGTATATACTATAATAAAATAAAAAAAAAAAAATGTGAGAGAACTGTTTCATTTTCCGTCCTACAACTCTTGGTTGTATCACGAAAAATTTGTTCATTCTCAATGAACATCTATTAAAAATACCAAAATAATAGTAAATTATTCATAGGAATAAGCAAATCCTAATTGACATATAGCCGCAGATTGTGGGAGCCGCTTGTGACAATATATGTAAAAACTTTTTTTGTAAGAACTTTATTTTTGCGTAATAAGACGAGACTGTCTTGATCCTCATGAAATTTTCCTTCTCGCAAATATTTTTGTTACTAAAGATTATATAGGACAATAGTCAGAATTCGTGAAAATTTGGTCTAGCTTATAAATGCCATCTACCCATCTTGCGAAAATAAGGTGTCGTGAATATTTGGTGATCTACAATGGAAAAACTCATACAGGGAAGATATCAGAAAATATTTTTTTCATTTTGTGGGGGGGGGGGGGGTCTTATTCTTTGATAAGCACTGACTTTTTTGAGGTGATGAAATCCGCAGCATCACACAGGAGAGCACACAGTTTAGCTGCCTTGTGTTCTAGACATGGACCCTGTAATGAGAGAAGAACACACAATTTAGCTGTCTTGTGTTCTAGACATGGACCCTGTAATGAGAGAAGAACACACAGTTTAGCTGCCTTGTGTTCTAGACATGGACCCTGTAATGAGAGAAGAACACACAGTTTAGCTGTCTTGTGTTCTAGACATGGACCCTGTAAGGAGAGAAGAACACACAGTTTAGCTGCCTTGTGTTCTAGACATGGACCCTGTAATGAGAGAAGAACACACAGTTTAGCTGCCTTGTGTTCTAGACATGAACCCTGTAATGAGAGAAGAACACACAATTTAGATGCCTTGTGTTCTAGACATGGACCCTGTAATGTGAGAACACACAATTTAGCTGTCTTGTTGTCTAGACATGGACCCAGTAATGAGAGAAGAACACACAGTTTAGCTGTCTTGTTGTCTAGACATGGACCCTGTAATGAGAGAAGAACACACAGTTTAGCTGTCTTGTTGTCTAGACATGGACCCAGTAATGAGAGAAGAACATACAGTTTAGATGTCTTGTTGTCTAGACATGGACCCTGTAATGAGAGAAGAACACACAGTTTAGCTGTCTTGTTGTCTAGACATGGACCCAGTAATGAGAGAAGAACACACAATTTAGCTGCCTTGTGTTTTAGACATGGACCCTGTAATGAGAGAAGTACACACAATTTAGCTGCCTTGTGTTCTAGACATGGACCCTGTAATGAGAGAACACAGTGAAGCTGCCATGTTGTCTAGATATAGACCCTGTAATGAGAGAAGAACAGACAGTTTGAAGACTGCTGTTGGAAATTGAGAGCAGAGGCTAATCCCTCCTTCTTCAAATATGACACACACAAAATTCAAGGATTTCACATTTCAACATAAATATGGTAAAATTAGAAAGCTTTAATTACTTTTCATCTATTATTAAAATTTTGTCTCAGTTTAATAAAGATATCTTCAAATATTTATTTAAGGGAAATTCTCAAATTATTTGCCTCTCTAATATTTCAGTTTGAACCATACTGGAAATACAATTCATAAAAAACAAACAGGAGACATTGTGAAAGCTTAAACCTTGTAAGAACAACCTTCCTTTATCATATACATTTTCTTAAAACATCTTTTTAACAAATTAATTGCCTTTTTTACCTGTAGTTGTTCGATAAAGCTGTCAATGTCATCTAAAATGATAAGATCAGGACCAACAGCTCTGTTATGTACCGTGGCACAAAATTCTACAACTTCCTCAACATTTTTCAGGTACCTACAAAAAGTCAAACAACTAAGTATGACTTATCTAATCATCACATATGTTATTTTGGAATGTACTTGTGATCTGGAAAATGCATAAACTTTTGTTTTCATACCATAAAAAAATAGAATCAAGCCAAAGAAATTTTTGAGTCAATTTTAAGAGATTTAGCGTACGATGATTTTTTCATCTTCCTTATTTATATCACAGATTTTAAATAACATAATATTTCAAAAATGTCAATATGGGAAATTCTTAATCAAATATAAATGAAACATCACTTTTACAAAGCAAAGTTGTGGTATTTAAGAAAATGACATAAGTTTGCAAAGAAGAATTAAATTAACAATGTTATTCGAGGGTCACATTTTTTTTCCGTGCAAGTATATGCAAGTTTCGAGATTATCTCCCTTGGTGCGCTCTTTCGTTATAGAGGGGAGTTTTGTTTCCTCATAAACCGGCAGGTGGGACAGTTTTTTATATATGCTACATCATCGATATACTGGTTTACCATAACTGTTTATGGGGATGCCCTCATCAACTAAAAAATTACTGAATTTAAGTAAGGGCATCATTTTTTTTCTAACCCCCCCCCCCCCCCCCCCTTAAAAAAAGGAAATAAAAAGAAAATATCAGTAGATAAGACTTCAGACAAGGGAAGAGACATGACACGGATCTCCAATAGACACACATCTGATCATTGCACGTCGGCGTTCTGAATGACACATCGACTCTTTCCACTAAGTTTTTACAAAAGTTTTGTACAATCAAGGAAGCATCTTTTTCACACAAAAAATTTGACGTTCATTTGATTTCAAGTATCCTAATTAAAAGTAGATTTTGTAAAACATCTAAAGTATAGATCAATGTTATCATCAAAATCATCACTGCTTGACATTATATATTCATGTATAATCTTTCCATAACATTAAATACATCTTGAAAGCCCTAGCCATCGTTCATTTATTTATGCACATTTGTGTACAATGACAACCAGCTGTGCCACTTCTATGCTGATATGGATATTTTTTGCGCCTCAATCGTTGCAGAGCTACAATCTCGAAACTTGCGTATTGGGAGATGACATCACTGTGAATAACATGTAGTGATAATTAAGTTGTAAAATATCTTTCATACAAAAATTTGACAGTTTTGAGAACATCTGCCTCGGGTTTTGGCATCCCATGTACTCCTGCAGGAAGGGTGCTGAGAGGCTGGCGGCAGATGTAGGTCACATTGGATTCTTTGGTGGCATAGGAGACAGCACATTGAAACAACAAACTTTGCAGAGTTCTTTGAAAAGAAAAATGTTGAGATTTTTAAATCTGACAAGACCAGAGAAACAACGATACCATTGAATGTTGTATAAAATTTACAATTGCAGCATCATTGGAGATTTTCAAAACTGGATGATAACCCAAAATCATATTTTGCCTACTCACTCTATATTTCTACTTTTTAGAACGCAGTGATCTACATTTGCAGTGATGACTGATTTAATTGTTGATTCACGATTTTCAGAAAAATGGCAACACGGCGACTCCAAGGGGAAAATGTGAGTAAGGGCGATCATAATCTTTCTGCTTCATCCAGATTAACTTAGAGCACAGCGATCATTGAACGAAAAAATTTCAACAGACAACAACTTAAATTAAACTAGATGGACCTTTGCCTTTTTTCCCTTTCATTATTACAGCAAAAATTTCAAATCCTTTAAAGTTGAATCCTTCTCAGGCTTCTGCAGAATTTACTTCGAAATTGAAAGTAGAAACATCCATATTACAGAATGTTCAATCTCAAAATACGAACATTTATTTATAGTATATTTTAAATAATATATAAATCTGTCAAATCAAATTAAACAAAATATCAGAAAATAAACTAAAATATTTTTTTTGAGTCAACAGCAAATAATTAGAGTTAAAAAGAATGTTATTTATGGATGTAACAATATCTTTTCGTTTTGTGAAGTATATTTCACAAACTAGATTAACCCTCTTATCTTGCGGTTTGATTGGATGGGGATGACTTCATCATTTAGTAAATAAGAAAAAAATAACTTTTTTGATCAAGATGACCTCACCTGCGTAGAATACCAAAAATAGAATAATTAAATACCTGCTTACGGACCAAATCTGGTTGTAAACGAAATAAGTAAGTAAGTATTTTATGCACGTCATGATTGCAGAAAAGTTTTCAATGCCAAGGTTATCTTACCTGATGTCATGTTAAATTTTTTAAAAATTCTGCTTGCACCAAAAATTTTGCCATGTTTTCATATGCGTTTGTGTATGAAGTTATGCATTAAATCATAATGAGCACATTCATAGGAATACATTATATGTAAACAGGTGCTAGGCCATATATATTGCAACGCTGCTGTAGCTGTTTGCAGTGCAAATTTTAAAAAAAAATGCATTTATTTACAGTTGGTTGTCAACAATAGCAGAAACCTATAAAGAAATTTAACAAAGAAATTCAAACAAATTTAAGATATGTATACTATATAAAAGAGATTTGTACCTGGTTTTTATGACAATTTTTAAAATGCACCTTGCATTTGATATTTCTGTTTTATGGATCTCTCTCTCTCTCTCTCTCTCATACTGCATTAATGTAACTATCATTAGTGGATTTTATTTGTCATTGACGGTACTGAAGAGTATGGTTTGTTTTACATGGTTTGGTTTTAGTTAGAATTTTGCATTGTATCTTAGAGAGAAGTGAATCATTTATCTCTTTTTATTTTGAATATAGTATGAATTGATTGCAAACATGGCAAAGCATGCCTGATGTATAACAATCATGTGTTACAGTTAGTGGTTCTTTCAGTGGGAAAAAACATATGGCTTATTCCTGTTCTTGCAATAGCACAAAACCAAAGAGCATATATCTCTTGCATGAAATATTGAGATAACGAACATTATTTTATAGTCTATTTATAGTCCCTATATAATCTATACAAATGCAAACAGTTCATGACAGTGCATATTCACTGGATTTGAAGCCAAATTCACCGGAGGGTCGGTGCGCGTGCAGCGGCATTGTGACGTCACAACACCTCAGATAACGTACAATGGTTGCAATGGCCGAAGCCAGCTGTGTATCTGAGCAAGAAAAACATTAGCCAAGCCATCTTCGCTAGGCAAGGGTTTCTGATACGTTACTCTCCTCATAAGCCCTTGGCATACGGTGTTAAAAAAAGTTGGGATTTTTTTCTCAAGTTGTGATTGGAGTTGATCGACATCGTTCGACCAATCAGCAATTGTTTTTCGTAAATGACGATATTTGCGTTCGGGATATATCTTGACTCTTTAATATCGGGAATGAAAAACGCAAGTAAACAACGATCCGATAACATGCCATTCTAAGAATAGCTATATGGTGTCATCCAATATCTTAAGCTACGTGCAAAATATGTGATTAGGAATCTGTACTTAAGATGTAGATTTGCATTTTAACATGTTTAAATAACAAATTAACATAACTCAATACCTTCTTGTTAATAATTCTTTAAAAACATTATTTTTTAAAATACACTTTTTATTTCTGTTGATGACGCAATCTGTGCGTACCTGGTAAGAATTGTGATCACGTGACAAAAACATTCCAGTCTTTTGTCAGCACCGTATGCCAAGGTTTTATGAGGAGAGTAGCGTATCAGAAACCTTTGACTAGCGAAGATGTAGCCAAGCCTATCGCAGTATTATTTTCTAAACATTTCACGGTCTTACAAACAGCAAAAGGAAAACACGGAAGTTATAACTTGTAATCTGGACATTTTTTTTTTTAATTTATCCATGACAGAAGTTCGTAAATAAAAGAGGTATCATAATGCAGCCTTCAATGTCTTATTTATTCAAATCTAGACTATATAATAAAACAATTATGGACTCTTTCGGTGGTGAATATGGTTTGTTGTTCACCAGAAAAAAATATGATCAATATTGACCTTGGCTTCGCTTCGGTCAATATTGATATTTTTCTGGTGAATAACGAACCATATTCATCACCGAAAGCGTCCATAGTTGTATAGTATTCAACATGTTCGAGTTCAAAGTCCATTAAAACAAAACAAATCGGGAGCAGAGCTAACAAGGACCTCCAAAAACATCAGGTGGGATCAGGTGCCATGGAGGAGTGAGCATCCCCTGCCCACCGGTCACACTGGCCGTGCTCCTTGTCATGATCGGGAAATAACGGAAAAATCTGTCATGCTTAAAATATGGAGTGTGATTTCATTTATATGTTCTATAAATACAAGCCTCATTACAGAATTTAGAGATATATCCCTCTTACGTTCTTATATTATTGGAGGTAAAAATGTACTACTAGAAGCGTTCTTTGTAGTGTTAAAAAGTATGCTCTACAGTGGTTTGTCCATCAATTTATTAAAAAACAATGAAACAGACATAGGAAATCTTGTAATTTGACATAAAGGGTCCTATAGGTACATTTATGTCAAGTCTTCTTTCAGTCTTTTCAATTTTGGATGCAATGTCTTTATTCATATTAATTTACTGAATGCTTATCTGCATTTTTATTTTTAATGTATAAATGCTTTTATTTGGTTTTTTTCATGTTTGGGAGCTCTGCTTTTTCTTCCTGTTCTCAGTTTTTTTGAATTTTTGTTATATTTAAGTTAATATACTTGTGCCCAAGCTTGAAAACTTACTTATAAGTATTTTAATCAGCAAAACAAGAAAGCACATGCAGTTCTCACCAGGTCAGAAATTGTATGTGACCAGACAAAAATAGTACTCAAACCCAAGAAAAAAAAATCAAATATTCCTGCTTATTACAAGCTTTCGGGCAGGTAAAAAGAGTCATGCTTTAAAACTATGATAAACTTAAGCTTATGCACAATATGCTTTGCAAAATAAAATGGTCCACTGGTATGAATGTTATGCACCAGTAGTTTCAAGATATTAAAAAAAATCTGATGCATTACAAGTTTGAGAAGAAATGTCAGGAAGGTTTTTTTGTTATAATATTTGATTTGCAAGAAAATGCTAATTTAACAAGGCACATCATATATCATGTATATATAAAATGTGTTTAAAGTTTAATATACTTTTTTAAATAAAACTATATCATAAAAATTTTCAAGTTAACAATATTTTGTTCCCTGTCTAGGATGTTCTAGCTGTGATGAACAAAAATTAAACATTGAAACAAAAATTCCACAAATGATTCCGTGTAGTACCTGTCTGCATGACAGTTTATTATTTTAGAAAAAAGGTAATAAATTTCAGTTCTTAATCATGTAGAACAAAAGTTGGTTGATCACTGTTAAAAGTTGGAATAAATGAAGCGAAAAATATATTAAAGAAAGGGACACGACTTCAGTGTAACATTGTCTTGGTATGAGTCACAGCTTTATCAATGTTTAGCTTTACAATGTCCCCCTTATCAGAATAGGCCTTGTGACTCAGCACTGATGTTAAAGGCCTATATTTGTTCAGCATTGTCCACATGGTTTTAATTTAAAAAAAAAATTAAATGATCTTAGTTTCATTAAAGGTAATAATTCTGTGGTCATTGTGTTTGGGAAATTCCAGTCAATGAAAAATGTATAAGAATTCTTTGTCATGCCTGAGCAGTCAAGTAAAACATATGCATTTAAATTCCAAGGAAATGTGTGATGTTGTAATAGAGTGATTTAAATTCTTTATTCTTACAGGAAGTATCGAAGGACTGTGTTGTAAATCTTGAAAAAAAAAATGAAGTCAAAAACTATTACACCAAATGGTGCCAAGGGTGAAAAATCCTCTCAGCCTGACCAATGACTAGACAGTGGTGTCCCAGACACTGGTAACCATGTCAACCAGACCACCTGTTGCCTAGGTAACAGAATGACCAACAGTGTGATGGACATATCAAATCATGCTGGACCAGTAGTCAGTAATGAGTTTGACGGAGATGGATCAGAGGAGAGCTTACATTGCGAGGAGTTATCGGATGCCAGTCCGGATTGTGGTTGGATTTTACTGGATCAGGATGTTCTCGCATCACTTCTGAGGAATGGCTTGGATAAGGTAGGGAGACTGTCCTCAAAAGAGGGGTCCATTCTCTGTATAGTACACTATAACAGTATATATACCATATATGATTATAGATAAGGTAGTGATGACTGTCCTCAAAAGAGAGGTCCATTTTCTGTATAGTACACTATAACAGTATATTTACCATATATGATTATAGATAAGGTAGTGATGACTGTCCTCAAAAGAGGGGTCCATTTTCTGTGTGATGATACAATGGATAATGTATGATTTAACAGCAATTTATATTAACACTACATTCATGACATTGTACATGTTGTATGACTGAAGCAAAGATGCCCTTCAGTACAAGTCCTTAGCTCTAAAATGATTATAAATGTGTTGACCATAAGATGCATATAAATGTCATCATATGGTCTTAACAATATACAGCACAGTTATCATAATATAGCCTGTATATACACCAATTGTGCTGTGAGGTCTGAAATAATACAGACTAGTGATGGGACATCGGTTAATTTTAATAATCGATCATCGGTTGGAATCGGTTACTGCTTCTGATGCGATTTTACCGATTATAATCAGATGTCATAGTTTTGTATATAAAAAACAGACTATTACAATTATTTCATATTATTTCTTTAACATGAATATATAAAATATATAATAAATTATTTTCTTTGTTGTTTTGCTTCTTTTACACTTTCTATATATGCACCTTTTGGTTCTTAATCACCTCTGCTTCGTGCTAGTTGGCTAGTGTCAGATGCAGATGCCATTTTCTTTCATTAAGAAGAAATAAATTTTAAACCAGAAATTCCGGAATGTATTGTATTAGAAGTATGTTTCCGATGATCGATTATGAAAAATTATAATCGATCATCAGAATCAGTAGCATTTTTTTGTCAACAATCGATGTTTTCTGATTATCGGTACAACACTAATGCAGACAGGTGCATCATTTGGACTTCATATTTGGTCAATTGTCATCTGTGAAGTTAATGATTTGCTTTCAACTAGGAGACAAGTTTTGAGGTCACTAGTTGTGCTAATGTAAACAAAAGAGCTCTTCTGTCTTCAACAAGTACCACCCAGCCAAAAGACTCAGCTTAAAACAAGTACCACCCTGCCATCAGACTCGGCTTAAAACAAGTACCACCCTGCCATCAGGCTCAGCTTAAAACAAGTACCACCCCTCCATCAGGCTCAGCTTAAAACAAGAACCACCCCACCTGCCATTTGGCTCTGCATAAAAGAAGAATCACCCCGCCATCAGTTTCAGCTTAAAACAAGAACCCCCCCCCCCCCCCCCCCAATCAGTCAATCAGACTAAGTTTAAAACAAGAACACCCCCCCCCCCCCATTAGACATTAGACTTAGCTTAGGCTGAGTCATCGAGACTTTGTCTTGTAATGTTACAGAAACACACATCACCAATCTTTTCGTTGAAATAGAAAATTTTTAAATGATGCAATGCATGTTGAGTAAAATTAATTTTTTGGAACTTGCATTTTGATGAGTTCTGAAATAATAAACTAAATTTAAACACATACTTGTTGCTACATGTTTCTCATCGTATATAATGTTCAGAAAAAATGCAGAAATGAATTCTAGAGAATACAGAAATGTTGAATTTCATGCATTATAAAACATGCTAGCACTGGTAAAAATCAGAATTGTTAATTAGAATCAGGAACATACCTGAATTTTATTTATGATACACCTCTCTTCTACCTGTCTGCTCTGCAGGTGTTTATATATACATGATATAAGTGATGAATTTACAAATTCTTACAGGGAAAATTGATGGGATTTCATGATACATTAAAAAAAAAAGAAATAAAAAAATTATAAAGAGATAAGGAAAATTTCTCCTTGTTTTCAATCTTTGAATGTGCATTTCTTGCATTTTTATAATGCTAAAGGGGGCAAAAAGTGTCCATATAAAATATATATATATTTTATTTTTAAAAATGTCAAAAATGCATTTGCATATTTTTCAAAAATGATTGTTAATAGTTGAATAGTTTTATCAATAGGTTGAATAGATTTTAAAAATTCTGTGTTTTTTTTTATACCAAAGGGGTTTTAATGAGATTGATGAATATATACATGTAATTTCAATAGTATTGACAAGTATTAGTAAGATATTTTCAGATAGAGATCTATTTATTCATTTTTTTTTAAAGATGAACAAAACTCAGTACAGTGTACCTTAGCTCCTAATATTTTGATGACCTAAGTGTAAAATCCAGACTTAATTCATGAGATGGAATGTTAAAAAGCCCAATAATTTGTCATACACATGACCCATTCAGTAGAATATTCTGTTAACACTGTGTAAATTTAATGGCAGTAATGATTTTTGCTCAGGGCTAACACTTTATTTCATTAATGAGAGCCATAATAATGTTTACAAAACAAAAAATATTGATAATTTCAAAGCCCTCAAATATTTGTCTGCATCACTCTCTGGGAGATTTATACAAGCTTTGAATCAATGGGAGGTCACTCAGACAGGAGAGTTATTGTTTTCAATAAATTAGATAATTCCTTATATCTGGAGAAGTTCGTTCACTCTCCTGGATAATTTAACTTGGGAATGGCCTGGAGTTTATTTGACTCCCAGTAGGTTATTATACAGGGTGAAGGGTGACTCATTCTTTGATATGTATGCCAGAGGCTCAAAGAATTACTTTATTATCCAAGGTACACACACCAACAATGATGAGGGAAAATAAGTTAAGTGTTTTAAATACAGAAACACATTTATCTGCACATTGTTTTAAGGTGTAACTTATTTTAATTTTTTTTGGTATAAAGCCAGAATTTCAGGACCTGCTGAATAATACTAAGTTATAAATGCAGTGCAGTATACATGTAGTCCTTTGTCTTTAGAGTGAAGGTTTTGTAGAAAGTTAAAATGATGTTAGGAAGAGTGGACAAGGCTGACACATGCTCCCCCATCACCATGTCTTATCCAGTGGAGCGTGACTCCACATTCCATCAGAATTTGTCATCTGTCATGGCCCATTATATTCCCTACTCTTCTAGTTGTTCAGTTTTAATTACGATTGATCAATGATTTTGGAGTTTAGGACTATAATATAATATAATATGCTGTTTTATAGGTTGATTAATTATAGGAACAGAATAGAAAGTAAAATTTGTGTCACCCCCTGTGTGTGTGTGTGTGTGTGTAAAAGAGAGAGAGAGAGAGAAACCTGAAGGCCAGTATTGCTACCTCTTTGGGGGTCATTCAGGAACAACTCATTACCATTCAATGAATGTCTTTTTTTTTTTTTATTTTTTAAAGATGTGAAAATCAATTATTAAGTCATTTGGAAAGAGTACTGTGTTGTCACTTAGAAAACGAGAAAAAAAAATATCAGCTTGACGACAGCTGAGTCATAGTGCAATGTCTTGGTTGGCAGCTAGTTCTTTGATTGACCTCTAGCTAAACACACTGTATTCCATCAATGTTCCTATCTTTCTTACACAGTGCAAGCTGGATTACAATGAAATTGGCATAATAAATAGATAATATCAGCTGAAGATTTGTTTGTACAAGTGAATATCAATTGTTGATTTGTGGTGTCATTTTGCCACTCTTTCTTAAACATGTTAAAATAAACTTGATATCACCTGTATATTTCATTTTGTAAGTTTTTGGAATGATTTGACTGCAAAGCTTTCTCTTCTCATTATTACACTGTTTTCTGATATCACTTGTTTAAATATTTGTATGTTTTAGAGTTTTATATATATATATATATCTTTTAGAATTAGAGTGTTTCAGTCATTATAATGGTCCTATTTGCTGATATCACCTGTATTTATATATATGTTTTAGAATTAGAGTTTTTCCATCATTATTATGGTCATATATATATTTGCTGATATCTCTGACGTCATTGTACTCCTATTTTCCGTCGTGTGTACCTTGTACCCCGAGTGTTTGAGGAGGTCCCAGTGACTCACCAGACGTCCAGACAGAATCCCAACGCTGACAATGATATCGACAAATTTAAAAAAAAGCAGTTTATTGAGATAAATTTTGTATGTAATATTTATGAACTCTAACATTCCTGGTTATTTAAATGTCTGCAGCTTGGAAAGAATTGTAATGTAGTAATACTGCAGCGTTTATTATTGGGAAGTATTTTGTTTGACGACAAGGGTACACGATCAATGATGCACCCACTGTTAGTTGTAACCAGGCTGATGTTGTTAAGGACAGATGAACTTAGGTCATCAGTCACAAAACAAGAGAAGAAGAAATGTTGTCAATAGACTTTCTACATGAAGTGTCATTGAAGGTTTTCCCATCAGTATGAGTTTAATGTTTATTGGAAACAGTGTCATCTGTGTACATCCCCTAGGTGTTTTTAACATTTGACTAAGTTCTTTTTTATGCATTTGATAAAATGCATCTATTGAGCTCCTGCTAATGAACAGTTGGGTACAGGTGTATGTCACATTAGCATAATTACCCAGCACCTTGATGTGAAAATACAGGACAGATGTGTCATAGCTTCATATAGATTCTTACAAAACTTATGGTGGAAAGTCATACACTATTAAAAAGTTAAATCCTTGAAAGAGAGGAGTTGTGAGTGCAGCATTAGGTCATACCCATATTAAACAAGTATTTATTTCATATGTTAGCCTATAAAATATCAGTTAGATATGAGAAAAGTCACTTTTTCAGGGACAAGAGAATTGTGAAAATTCATTGAGTGATCCCTGGATGATAATTGTATGATGATTCTTTGTAATTAGTCAAGGTCAGCTGAAATAAAGCTTCAGAGGTTTGTTGTAGTATTGGAATCAAAATAATTCATATAAAGATAAATAGTCCGATGCAGTTTCATTGGAATGGAGAAGGGGGTGTCATCAGGTTGTTTCTGTGTTTTGTTGACGTTTATGATAATTAACTGCTGTGGTAATTACAGCACGTCATCATCAGGAGGTGAGGTGTTCTGTTGTCTGTGTAGTACACACAGGTTGTTTATTTGATTGTTACTCACCAGTGTTTACAACGAGGGACGCAGGTGACCCACAAAGTATATCTTAACCCAGGGGTTAATTCCTAGACATTTTAATAACATCATACAAGTGACTGGAATAAACAACATTATTTATTTACGTATTACAAATTATGTAACAGGAAGGGAGAAAATGTATGAATGGACAGGGAATCAAACCTGGGACCCCTGCATCACTTTGAGTCAGGTGCTCTACCAACTGAGGTACCCAGGCCAATGTCCATGGCCCATAACCATTACTCTATGAACAGCTAGCTTTCATTCATCATGTGTTTTCAAGATGTTTCAATTTGTTTATCTAAGAGTGCATACTAATAGTACTAACAATAACTGATGCAAAAAATAATGTAGATCAGAATTAGCTCTTCCAAAAAAAAAAAAAAAACAACATAAAAAAAACAATCATGCAACATCTAGACCTGTACAGATTCAATATACACTTTATTAAAAAAAAATTGACATGAATGAAAGTGTTTTGTAATCTGCATGCACATAAGGTCAAATGTGCGGAAATGAAGTGGTTGATTAAAAAAAAAAGGGTGTTGGTTCTACGTTCATGACAAACCTTTTTGTAAACACATAGTTACTGTTTGTGGTGGTCATTTTGACATTATAAACAGTCCGTGGAGGGAACCTATAGACTTTTGTAATTTTAAAAAGTTGATTCATTATCCATACACAGTCAAACCTCGTTATCTCAAACTCGATGGGACCGAGAAAAAAACTTTGAGATATCCGAGGGTTTCGAGATATTGAGGGTAAAATACTTAAGATAAAGTGCTTAGGACTTCCAAATTCACTTCGACATATTCATGGAATTTGAGATATCTGTGTTCCAGATACCAAAGTTCAACTGTATATTAATCATTGATGAACATTTGATTGGTAAGAAAAAAAATTACAAGTTTATATACAAACAGAGATTCACTGAATTTCATTGTTGATGAGTCCTACATAAAATGATCACATCATCAATATTGCATCCAGCAGTGAGCTCAGGTTGGTTTTGGCCCTGTATCTGTAGTTGATTCAGGAAGCAATTCATAAAATAGTTGTGGGATATATAATAAGAGAACTCCCCATCCCATATATCATATACAGAACATCCCGGATATATCTTATGTGGTCAAGTAAATTATAAAGATCCTATGTGTTATCTGTGATTGGAATAACACATAGGAGTCATTATTTTAATGTTGTACAAAGTCAGTGATTTCTGTGTGTTCTTATCAGAGAAGTGTTTTCAGGAAGTGCATCTAATTGTGGACGATTCCTGGTGCCAAAAATAACATTCTCAATGGTGTCTTTGATTTCAGGATACTCAATAAATTAATTCACAAATATACATATAGTTATATAAAAAGAGAACTAAAGATGGTTTATGTGTCTCAATAAATTAAGTAACTAAATAAATGTTTGTGTATTAAGTTGAACCTGAGTTTTTCAGTCTCCACAACAGAATATAATGTCCTATCAGACTGTAAGAAAACCTGACGGAATTTGATGAGTGTCATAACCTGCATTGAGATCATCTCCTTCAAGTCCCCATTAATTACCAAACAGGATTTCTTTCTTTATTTGTCATGGAAATTAGCAAAGCCCTGTTAACTGTGTACAAGGAACTCAGTGGTAATTAAGTCAACAGCTCCTATTGACCAATCATATTAATTGTCCAATAAAATCAGCATATTCCCTCTTATCACCTAGCAACCAGAATCTGGTTGATCCTTTGGTACCACAATAAGACCATAAAGCATAGCTTGATTAGATTTCTGGGGTGTATTCATAAGTTTCATGACTCTGGGATTACGAATTTGTCATAACCGTATTAGTGTCATAGTACAGAGCTAGAACAAATGGTCAGTTATCATATTTGATTTCTGGGACATGGAGTGATTAGTCCATTCAACTTCAGTTCAACTTTATATTCCAACTTTTAATTCAACATAAAAGCATATTAAAGGTTAAAAGACAAAATTGCGAAATGTAATAAAATATAGTATCTTTACAATACATCGAAATCTTGATGACAAAATCATAAGAATCTTCTAATGTATTCAGAGAACTTGAGGGAAGTAGTTCAAATTAACATCATTTTTCCTGAATGAAGAAACATTTATTATAATACAGAGAAAAAGAAATTTGAATTACTGAATAATGGTTGAAATTTGTTGTTGTTGCAGATATTGCTCATTGACAGTCGGTCATTTCTGGAGTACAACGATTCACGTATTCAACAGTCTGTAAATCTCTGCTGCTCAAAACTTGTAAAACGGCGACTTCAACTGGACAAGGTAAAGTTTTCAACTGTTGATCAATTTAAGGAATGAAATTTAAGAGCTTCCAAATTAACTTATAAGTGAAGGACCAAACCCTCTCAAGGGGAGATAATTAAGAATTTTGGAAAATTAATCCCATCTCTCAAAAATTTTCTTCTCAAGAACCACTGGGCAAGAAAAGCTTAATGTATGTAAAAGCTTCATTACATAGTGTGGATTCAATTTTTTTTTTAATTCATGACCACTGGGGGTAGGTTGGAGCCACATTAGGTGATTAAAGTTTTACAAGGGAGTACATAGGATTTTTTTTAAATCTTCATCTTAAGAACCACTGGGCCAGAAAAGTTGAAACCTGTGTGAAAGCTTCATTACATAGTGTAGATTCAAGTTTCTTCAAACCATGACACCCAGGGGCTAAGGATGGGTCACAATGGGCAATCAAAGTTTTGCAAAGGAATATGTAGGAAAAAATCTGAAATAATCTTCTTCTTAAGAACAGTAAAAGCATGACTAGTCATATTTACTCCCCAGGAAGTGTAGATTATAGTTTGTTCAAACCACGACCCATGGGGATAGGGTGGGGCCACAATAGGTGTTCAAAGTTTTACATAGGAATATAGAAAAAAATCTTTAAAATATCTTCTTTTCAAGATCAACAAAGGCATGATTAGTCATATTGATATGAAAGTATTCAGTAGTGTAGATAAGAGTTTAAGCAATTCATGACTCTTAATGGGTAGGGTGAGGCTACAATTGGTGGTCAAAGTTTTACATAGGAAAAAACGTGCTGATGAAAAAAAAGCAAAGCCAATAGTGACTCAGTTGAGCATTGTGGCCAATGGGCCTCTTGTGAAATAAACTAAATTATGCTTAATATTCATAATCACGAAGTTAATATTTAACTAACAAATATTTACAAGTGCAAAATAGTGCAATGATGTAAACTTTGAATTAATTAATGTACATGTACAATTGTAAACACAGACAGTACCTTGAAGAAAAGGGTAGATTACTATTATAGTAAGTTATCACAATAATTAATGATGTTCAGTTTGATCAGAAAGAGATATTACATTGTGAAAAATATATATGTTTACCTGTGACTTCTAATTGTGGGTACTATCAATTTAAATTTTTTATTCTCTTGGTCTTAAAAGTCAAAGGATTATCACTTTACTATTAGAGAACTTCATACCCCCTTGACGTGAAATGAATCATTTCTCTGTGTACCTAATGCTTCGAGCAGTTTCTTGGCTTGATGAATGAGATTTCAAAGTTACTGATTACGCAAATTACAATGAAGAAACAAAAGTTCAGGATATTAAGCAATAAGTTTTACAGGAAGGGAGGAAGTCAGGATGGGAGATTTGTTTTTTAAATGGGATTTAAATCCTGGACAAACTTTGGGTATAAACAAAGTCTAAGCATGACATATATGTCTGTATGAGGTTATGCACAATGTGCTTATGATTCAGAGGGGATCAGTGTCTGACTACCTCAGGGGTCATGACCCCAGTAACCTGTCACACCGACACAAATAGTTCTTTATATCAGTCCAGTATATCATACTTTCGTGTAAAACTGTAAACAAGAACCGATTTGACCCACAGAGGCCTATGCATAAAGATCCAAGTTGATCAGCTCCACAGATTACCTGTTGATTTCTGTGTGAGATTTATGATTCTTATATGATTAACTGTTTTACTTTACTCGGAGTGTTCCTATGTGACCTAGGTGCTATACACCACTAAATATTTCTGAACTATTGTTTTGATGCCTTGGGAAGTATTATTTAACTACTGGAACAATTCCATCTGCATGGGGACAGCGGGAGATGTTAATGTTGAAGTTTAAGTTAAATTCAATATTTTCAATTGATAGAAGTTGAAATGAAATTGTGAACTTTTTAGTGATGGATTTTATATATAACCTGGTTTGCAGAAGGAATTGGACTCTATAGACAACTCAAAGTAAAACATTGATTTAAAGGTACTAACTGTAACATACAGAGAAGTAGGTGCCCCTCATAGATAAGTGTCAAATCCCTCAAGTTCTACCTGTCTAATTAAGGTGGTGTGATTATGATTCTGGCAGGTAATCCATTTTAATCCTTGTTAATTAGTTATATATAATCACAACCCCTACTTAACATCAGTCATATATAATCACAACCCCTACTTAACTTCATATATCATTTTGTGATGAAGTTTAAGATATATACCCTTATAGGCAGTTCTCATATTCCTGTCTCCTGAAGGACTTTAAAGTATTGTTTGTCTGTGCATGGGTTTAATTACAGAATCTTATCCTAAGACTGCAGAAGATTTAATTAAATAGAATTGACTTTGTCCATAATCAAGTTGTAGGTTAAACTTACGAAATATTTAATTCAAGAAATTACATTATTTGCAAGCCGTTACCATCCTAAAGCTCGAAGCATTTGTTAGCTGATTACAGAAAAATTTTACTGCAGAATTAAAATAAAATTCATCCATTCTAATGATTCAGTGAAATGAAATCAGCAACATCAAAAACACAGCTTTGTCTATGTGAAGGAATATTCCGTGAGAATGGTGACAAATGCTTCCTGAGAGTTTGGTTTTCTTCACTTGCTCCAAGACGATTGGATTTCTGTGAGTTAACGCTGAGTACACTGCCCTAGTTGTTTTTTACTAGTGATGATTCACCAGTTAATAGCTATTGTTTTCTTGGAGGAAACAGATTTTTAAAATTGAATCACAATTAAGAGGCAAAAATCGATAGAACTGCTGAGACTTAAATTGTGTTGTCTTCTTAAGTCTTTGAACTTTGGATTTTCTTCTTTAAATCCTTGGATTTTTTCTGACAAGTTCACAGTAGGAGGAGAAACATAGTTCAGGAAGTTGTCATGTAAATAAAATGGGGGAAATTCATTTAGATACTGTAAAATCACATAATTTCTAAGGGACAAATTTTCATGGTTTGAGGAAAAATGATTGGTCTGAGGGTACTTGATCCCTGGTTCAATAAGTGTTAAGTTGTAAGATATTTGAAATTTTACTTTGTGTATAGGACAGGAACAGCTAGTACTAGCTCCTGGGTCTCAGAGCTGTATCAAATTGTGAAATTTTCATATTTGTGAGTAGATTCAGTAGCTGGCTAGGATTGGGCCACAATAGGGAGATGAAGTTTTAAATGGTAATGTGAGGAAAAAATAGTCTTTTTAAAAATTTCTCCTCAAGGGTGGCAGACCCTATGACTGGTTCATTTATTTGGGGTGACCTTTAAGGCCTATTGGCCATATTATCATACAGGATAATTTATAATATTCCTTTGTGAGTAACAAATTAGGAATTATTACAAACATGTTAGTACAATGCTGTCCAGATTTAGTCTGAATCTGAATCAGCCAGCTTCCTGGAGGAAGCCAAGCTACATAAATCGTTATGTAACCGGTTGTTTTGACAGGTGATTGTCTCATATGTACTGTAAACCTTCCTCTAGATATATTAGGCACATGTTAGCTACTGTAAACTCAAGGTTAAGGTCAGGACACTTAATAGAGTGACGTATTTGTCATCATCACTCTAGCACCACACATTAATCAGCAGTGTTCCTAGTTATACCCCACGCAACAAGTTGCGTGAGGTATAATGTTTTTGACCCGTCCGTCAGTCAGTCAGTCAGTCAGTGTGTCAGTCAGTCAGTCAGTCAGTCAGTCCGTCAGTCCTGTTTTTTTGTCAGCGCAACTCCTCATAAACCGCTGCACAGAATTTCGTCAAACTTTGCAGATATTTAGGACACAATGTGTAGATGTGCATATTACCAGGAAATTTCGATTCCTTTATTTTTTCTGGGAATTTCGGCACTTTTCAACTTAGATTTTTGGCCATATCTTGAATATGGAGATGAACAGTTTATCAGCGCAACTCCTCATAAACCGCTGCACAGAATTTCGTCAAACTTTGCAGATATTTAGCACACAATGTATAGATGTGCATATTACCAGGAAATTCCGATTCCTTTATATTTTCTTGGAATTTCGGCACTTTTCAACTTAGATTTTTGGCCATATCTTCAATATAAAGATGAACAGTTTGTCAGCACAACTCCTCTTAAACCGCTGCACAGAATTTCGTCAAACTTTGCAGATATTTAGGACACAATGTGTAGATGTGCATATTACCAGGAAATTCCGATTCCATTATTTTTCTGGGAATTTCAGCACTTTTCAACTTAGATTTTGGGCCATATCTTGAATATAGAGATGAAGAGTTTGTCAGCGCAACTCCTCTTAAACCGCTGCACAGAATTTGGTCAAACTTTGCAGATATTTAGTACACAGTGTGTAGATGTGCATATTACCAGGAAATTCCGATTCCGTATTTTTCTGGGAATTTCGGCACTTTTCAACTTAGGTTTTTGGCCATATCTTGAATATAGAGGTGAACAGTTTGTCAGCACAACTCCTATTAAACCGCTGCATAGAATTTCGTCAAACTTTGCAGATATTTAGCACACAATGTATAGATGTGCATATTACCAGGAAATTCCGATTCCTTTATATTTTCTGGGAATTTCGGCACTTTTCAACTTAGATTTTTGGCCATATCTTCAATATAAAGATGAACAGTTTGTCAGCGCAACTCCTCTTAAACCGCTGCACAGAATTTGGTCAATCTCTGCAGATATTTAGTACACAGTGTGTAGATGTGCATATTACCAGGAAATTCTGATTCCATTATTTTTTCTGGGAATTTCGGCACTTTTCAACTTAGGTTTTTGGCCATATCTTGAATATAGAGATGAACAGTTTGTCAGCACAACTCCTCTTAAACTGCTGCACAGAATTTGGACAAACTTTGCAGATATTTAGTACACAGTGTGTAGATGTGCATATTACCAGGAAATTCCGATTCCATTATTTTTGCCTTAAGAGTTTTGCCTTTTATTGAAGAAACTTTCCAGCTAGGTAATAAGAAACTCCACTGGAATCAGCTTTTTATAATGAAATTCTATGTGAAATATTTTATGACCTTAAAAGACCCCTATTGATTTTGAGATCAAAATATTAATGGTTTAACACAAACACACACTCACACACACACCATCTTCGATAGTTCTCTCCCCCCCCCCCCCCCCCCCCCCTTCAAATTGGTGTGCTTTGCCTTAAATAATTTCATAAGTACAGTATATAAACAGATTCATATGACTACATCATAATTTTGTTTCCATCAATTATTAAAATGTGTAAACTGTCATGTGTTGGACATGGACTTACACTCATTAACAAATCGAAATCACTGAGGAATTTAAATAACAGTTTGTCAGCATAATTCCGGCACTGAATTTCCTGAAACTTTGTAGGTATTTCAGAATAATGTATAGATTTGTATATTACCAAGAAATTTTGATTCCATTATTTATCTAGAAACTTCAGCCCAGTTAAATTACATACAAAGATTTGAATGTCCTTATATGCAAGAAGTTTTGATGTGATGATTTTTTGCAAGTAATGCCCCTTTTTTGAATTATACTGTGTATTTAAAATGCACTGTGCCATTCATTACGTGTTGCATTGTCGAGTTTTGGGGAAGCGTGGGGTATGTGAGCTTGCTCACTTTTTCTTTCATTCTGTATATGTATACATTGAATAAATTGTAGGTTTAACTGCATTGATGCAAAATAAATAAAAGCCTACACACAGAAACAGCTTGTATTATAAGTGTCTGGTATCAATGACAGAGTGACATATGTTGACCTCTATCAATGAGGAAGCCACTGTTATGGTTTGTGTATATCCTGTATGATTGTACTGGTGTTATAATCCCAATGTCAGGACTCGGCTTGTCAGCCTCGTGCTATAATCCAAACATCGGGATGCAGAGGTCAGCTGAAATATTACACTAAGAATCAGCTGATATTGTCTGAGGTAATACATTGATCGACCCTTCAACAACAATCGTTGTAACCTAGGACAGGTGAAATATCTATTGATGTATATATTTCTCATTCCTTCCTTTGTTTTTATTCCTGTTGTGCTTCATTTTTAATTGTATTATATTGAATACCAGGTGAGAGATAAAAGACTCACTGCTTCAGGTGTAAACAGGTGTCTAGCTGAGATAGTTACCTGACAAAGAATCTGATTCAGAACTGTGTAGCTGTACACTACCACATGATTTTGATTCATAATTAGTTATGACATTTTTCCTCAATGGAATGTAGGAGGGACACGCTCCAATGATAAATTCTTTTACGGAATGCGACATTTAATTATATTCTGAAGTCAGATGTAACACATGTATTTGTAAGTGTGGCATGCTTATTGTTTAGGATATTTGGACAATTTTAAAATCAAACACCTAGACTCAGTCTATCAGCATCTCATGTTATTCATGTGTCATTGTAAAAAAAGATTCTGTGCTGCTGATGGACAAATCTTACATTTTTAGTGTGTCTCTGAGATTATCATATAGTATATCGTATGGCATGATACTCAGAGAACCAGTTTTTTTCTGGTTAGTTGGCAATTATGAAAATATTGTTTATTATATATCTAGTGTGTTAAATATATCTGTGCAAATAAGAAAAACTACTGTTTTTCATAATTATGGACAGTTTGAAATATATGCCTGTTGAAGTCAAGGAAAATTTAAATTTAATTTGGCCAAGAACAAAACAGATTTAAGGGATTTTAATTACTTGCTCTATACCCTAACTTCAGTGTTAATTTATTTCAGGTTCACATCAGAGACCTTGTGACCCAGACCTGCCATATTGACCTTGAGGAGTACTCGGATGTGATAGTGTACGACCAGTGTACCGAGTCTCCGGAACTCCTAACGCCAGACAACTTCCTGTCTATTCTACTGCGGAAACTAGTCATGTGTACAACTTTTAACAGTGTATCCCTCCTCAAAGGTAAGAAGACTTGTAGGTGTGGATCCAAAAACTCTTCTTACAAAGGCAAGGACTCAGAGGTGTGGATCTAAAAACTCTACATATAAAGTCAAGGACTCAGATGTGGTGGTTTCACAAATATTCATATGTAATTACTGTTTTAACTTTGTGAAGCTGTAAAAGATATACAGGTATTTTATATTTAGAAGAGAGACCTGTTTTCCGCTCAGTCTCCCTTTTTAGCTTAAAACTTGCACAGTTTCAAAACAGTACTCACAATATAGCATGGTGCACAGTCTTAAAGTGTCGGGAAAGGGGCAGAGTTTGTTAGGATTTCATAGGATGTAAGATCAGTAAGGAATTCCATAGGTGGATCTAAGATTAAGGATTTGATAGGTGGATCTAAGATATTAAAGAATTTCATAGGTGGATCTAGGATATTAAATAATTTCATAGGTGGATCTAAGATATTAAAGAATTTCATAGGTGGATCTAAGATATAGTAAGGAATTTCATTGTTGCTATAAAATTAAGGATTACAAAGATGGATCTAAGATTTAAAGATTAAAGATTTGAAGTGAGAATGGGTAGGGTATAGATACTGAAAAGTGACTTTTATAAAAATATCTAATTATGTGAATTCATCTAAATGTTTGGTTAAAAAAAATTCTAAATTACCAGTTATTATTGAAATAGGCAACAACAAAAAAACAAAAAAAAAAAACAAAAACAAACCAAAAAAAAAACCAAACAATAAAATAAAATAAATATGTGTTTCAGTTCATGCTGCAAACTTTTATTAATTAGTCAATTGTTTTGTAATTCTTGATGATCTGAACTTTGATTTTCTTTTGAAGTAATCCTTCAAAGAATTTACGAGATATTAAATATAAAGAAAATTCAATCATTAAATTTCTTTTAAAAAGTTATTATATTACTATTTTGTGTAAGAAGAAAAGTGATTATCCGTTGACTGCAGCAACACATTCCTTGACATAAATTTTAATGAGCATGAGTCACTCAGATTGTTTTGGAGCAGTTTAATTAAACACAGTCACGATGTATTCATTGTTAACTTCATACATTGTTTTTCTGGGGTTAAGATGACCTTGTGTGCCCTGAATTTTGTCACATGTCTTCATCATTATTTTCTAACTTTATTTGTTGTAATATTTTTGTTTTATCAGAGTCCCACAGGTAATTTGTGATGGAAAACAGAATTGTGGGAAAACACCACTGATTTTCTTATTGGTTTTATACCATTGATAATAAGGTCATTACTGGGTGAAATGCTGATAAAATTAATATCCATAGCTTAATTATGTGGTGACACAATCTACAAAAATAGAGAAATGATTAAAATTCTTCATGCTGTATATATGCAGACTAAATCAAGACTGATCCATAGAGCCATTTTACACCAGTCTCTGACTAACAACTAATCTTGGAAATGACTGAGACACCCTGTCACATTATACATAGTGGCCAATGTTAATCACCATATACGGCCTCTAATGGATTAAAATCAGCACTATCCCAACCAGGCATTGTACAGTCATCACAAATATTTGTCATATTAGTCCTCTATAAAGAATGCTCTTGTTTAAATGCTGTGTAATGTTTAATGTATTGCTTAATCTAGTCCTCTCTGGCCCTGAACTTACATAGACTTTAATAGTACAACACTTGGATTAGAGATTTCAGGTGAGAAACAGGTATATCGAGGTCAGACCACAGGCATGTGTGCCAACCACAGCAGGATTGATCCTTAAACTTTGTAGACCCCAAAGTTCAGCAGGCTGAACAGATGGTTGCCTCCAAAGGTCGTGACATAACATTGTAATATAATCCTTATCTTATAGTCACATGTTTTCTCTGAGGATCCTGAGTAAGAAATTTTGGGTTTTCCCCTAGCTATTAATAGATAAGTGGGCTTAGGAAGTTCCAGATTGTCCTGAATTTTACCTTTAATGATTTTCAAAGCTGTGGTTTTAAATGCCCAATATCCTCTAAGTTGGGAATTTTATATATTATAAATATAAAATGTAAATTCCACCACTGTTAAAAATTAGAACCCTCTAAGTTTGTGTCAAAGGATGAAGATCGTATGCCCTATCATGTCAGTAGATAAAGGTAACTAAAGGAAACTAGGTCATCTACAGAGGGTAGAATTCCTTAAATCTCTGTGTGGGTTATGTAATATCTGGTGTATATCTTAATCTCTAGTCTGATTCTAACCATTGTAAGAAAGAACTTAAAGGGGGTAAAATGCACCACGGGGTATATAGGCATCCAGTTCAAATTCTCACCTTGAGTTTGAAGTTTTCATGTGTAGTATTGGCAGTACAAGGACATTACCTATTGTATTGGGCTGATACTTTTGACAGTGATGAAGTTTATTGTATTTCTTTGGATTTGCTAAAGCCCTTTGTCACTGTGTGTGTGTTTGTGAGTCATAGCCCATTAACTAGTCCCCAGTTACCTGGTATCCATCACAATTTGAGGATACAGAGATATCGTGCTGTGGGAACATTCTGGGAAGGAATATCTCCGAACATAGTTTTTATAAACACACTAGGTGACATGCCTGTGTAACATTATACTGGATGTCCCCCCCCCCCCCCCCCCCTAAGGTTTTTAATTTCCTTTCATCATTAACATCTTAATTCCATGACCAAAAGTCATACCCAAATATAGGATAAATTTGTATTGTAGGCACAAAGTTAGAATAGGCTCTTTATACTGACTAAAAGTCATTCCCAAATAAAGGATTAATTTGTATTGTAGGAGCAAAGTCAGAATAGGCTCTTTATACTGACGTATTTTAATTATTATTGATGGGGAGGGGGGATTACAAATTTCTCCTTTTGTACCTCATCTTTATCATGTTTATAGAAATTTGCAAGAGAAGCTTTGTGTAATTTTTTATGTGGTGCTACTAAGTCAGGGTCTTTTACAGTATTTCACATACAATATATCAGTGTTTGGGTGCTGTGACATTTTAGAAGTTTCGTTGATTTCAATACATAAAATGACCCTCAAAGTGAATTCCCTGGTCCATCTGGTAGCAGCCATGATCATTAATCAGGAAACAAATTTTAGTCTGAGAAGTTAATCATAAATTGTGTGATGGCTGTGTTGAACTGTGCTTCATTTGAGGGTTGTTATGCATCCAGTTGATTATCATTTGAGGGTTGTTAAGCATTCAGTTGATCATCATTTTAGGGTTGTTAAGCATTCAGTTGGTCATCATTTTAAGGTTTTTAAACATTCAGTTGATCATCATTTGAGGGTTGTTAAGCATCCAGTTGATCATCATTTGAGGGTTGTTTGATCATCATTTGAGGGTTGTTATTAGCATCCAGTTGACCATCATTTTAGGGCTGTTAAGCATCAAGTTGATCATCATTTGAAGGTTGTTAAGCATTCAGTTGACCATCATTTGAGGGATGTTAAGCATCCAGTTGACCATCATTTGAGGGTTGTTAAGCACCCAGTTGTTCATCATTTGAGGGTTGTTAAACATCCAGTTGACCATCATTTGAAGGTTGTTGAGCACCAGTTGACCATCATTTGAGGGTTGTTGAGCACCAGTTGACCATTATTTGAAGGTTGTTAAGCAACCAGTTGACCATCATTTGAGGGTTATTGAGCACCAGTTGACCATCATTTGAAGGTTGTTAAGCAACCAGTTGACCATCATTTGAGGGTTGTTAAGCACCCAGTTGACCATCATTTGAAGGTTGTTGAGCACCGGTTGACCGTCATTTGAAGGTTGTTGAGCACCAGTTGACTGTCATTTGAAGGTTGTTGAGCACCAGTTCACCGTCATTTGAAGGTTGTTCAGATCCAAGTCCGGGTGGACCCCTACCCTCCTGGAGCGGTGGTCACAAATGTAAGATATTCACCTGATGGAGCTGTTTTCTGACTATGAGTGAAATTAGACATGTATAGCAGTCATATACATTAAACACAACCACAAATTGGTATTAGTCATAAGGGTAAGAAGGTGAACTGTTAGCTTTGTGTCTTTGATTTAATCAATAGGTTAATGATTGACGATAATTAAACTCTAGAGATACTGTCAGGAATATGAACGCTTTATGATTCTAGAGGGGGGAGGTCAAGGACCAGTTCCCTACTATTCTGTCAGCTGATGGTCAGTTTATGAGGGTTTTAGTTGGTCCTGGAATCACCAGGCTCCCAGCAGGGCTTTATAAGTCACTGAAGCAGAAAGTAGAAGATAACAGTATGATCTGGATTATTTATGAAATCCATAAGTACTTATATGTATAGGTGGTGTGATGGTTTTATCACTTTGTTGAAGAGAGTGGATTTAAACCTTAGGGGAAACAGACTGGGAATAAAACCATTGACTTTATCAGATATAGAAGCTGAAGGAATTTTTTATCTGTTTTATCAATTGATTTTTTTTTTTTTTTTACATCAAATTAGTATCAAAATGATGTCTATGTATGTGATTAACAAAAAAATGATCAAAATTAATAATTAGAAAATAGTAGCTTGTAGTGCATGATCTTTATGTTTTGTAAGATGAGTTAAAAGAGAAACAATTTTTAAAAAGTTATATTTTGGGTGTTTTTTCATTATTGAGTTATAGTAAATATATGAAGATCGAGATACAAATTCTTGTGACCTTGTGTATTCATGAGTAACCTTGCTGCAGAACTGGAGATTTTTTTTTACAAGTTGAAGCGGTTGTGAAGCCCTTTAAGATTTGGCATTATTAGACAAACATCTTATCACAAGGAACCACTTGCACTGAAGTCTTGGTTTCATTCCCTTTGTAACTGCAGGTGACCTAAATGCTGCAGACTGCAGTTTTTATTCACTGCAGCACATTAGTTGAAAAACAAACAAAAGCTCTTCAAGAATTGTATGATTCAAAGAAAGGGGGGAGGGGTTGTTAAGCAGAATCTAAGTGCAGGAACTGGAGTTTGATATGTATTGGAGGGTACTACTTATTACCAGTCATTGAAATTGCATCTGTAACAAGTGTTTGTATGCTAGTACAAGTGTACTAGACAATTCAGAAACATGCTCATTATGAACCCCATAACATTTTGGATAAAGTTTAGATAAAGGGTGATAGGTGCAGTTTAGGGGAGATTTCAGAGGTATAAGATCTCTGAGTGATGCATATATTGTTTCCAAGTCTTTCTTCAGAGACTGTAATATAGGGCACCTGCAGCTTTACCTCCCTACTGAGCTAAAATCTGCTCTAGCCCTGATAAGAAAATATTTATCTAGCTCACCATTCATTCAGGATTACACCTCGTGCTAGTTATGTAATGCCTGTCTAAAACAAGCAGACAAAATATGCAGGAGTTCCTGAAGGTCATTTAAGGCCGTAGATCCCCTGGGGTGTGCATGGTCCTCTAGTGAAAGGAGCTGGATCATATTCTTTGAAGAGCTTAGCATGATATTCTCATTTGTAGAAAACAATGCATAAATTTCAGCATTAATGTGACCTCTACTTTATATATGGTATTTTAATTAGTGCGGACATCTACAGTCATTTCCTGCTATATGTTCATCATGAGATTTTGTAATCTAATTAATAGGATGTTATTGATTACAAAATAAAAGTACAGCAATTAATTACATCTAAAAGTATGACACATATTAAAATGAAGTTATTGTTAATTAATTTTTGCTACAAAGGGATCATCCGTACTATTGCGTTTTAAATCACTGAAAGTTTGAAGTAAATAGTGTCTGTACAATACAAACGCTGCGTGAGAGGCAGTGTTACATAATTAATGTAGCTCTCTGCTCCCTTTGTCAGGGCCTCAATCCACAGTAGTGAATGAGTCATTCCATAACACAGCATATTGATCCAACACAAACAAAAAAAATGGGATCTCTTCAGTACCCTGGGAGAATTCAGGGTCAGAGTAATGGGTAGGCCACCAGCGTGGGGACAGTTGAAGGATTTCTGGGGATCTTAATGGTTAACCTAATCTGATTATCAGTGAAAGGACACTGGCAGTAGTCGCAGGAATTATTATGCTAAGTCACTCCGTGAGATTAAGGCGCATTACATACATGTATTAGTAATTTATTAAGAAGTGACGTCAATATTAGCAGAAGAAAAAAAAAATCAGCTGTGAAGTTTAATGCAGCGATTGTTGATTTTGGTTCTTTTGTTGTGTATTGAGGATGTGAATCTTGTGAGAGAGTTTCGGGGACTGTGAGTTGATACCTCCCTCGATTCAGTTACTTCCTCCGTGGACTGAGAGGACACTGTGTCACTAATGAATTACTCTATGTTCCAAATTAAAGGAACCTGGTTGTGGATTTTTTATTTTTAGTTACTGTCCAATTGTGAATTGAAAAATAGAAATGTCACTTAATAAATAATCTGCCTATAATATTTGGAATGGATGTTTTATCACCAATGAAAGGTAGCTTAAATGTTTTGTGGTTTTTATTTTATTTATTTATTTCGTTAGTTTTTGTTATTCTAAGTCTACAAAAATAATTTATAGAATTTACTTTGTTGTTATTTAATTTGACTTTTTGATATAATTATTTTGTAATTAAAATAGAAAAAATGTTGTACCCTATTTATTATATTGACATGCACTCAAAAAGCTTAAACAGTTCACCAGAAATAGGATTTTGTCTTGCTTTATTTTTAATAATTTTGTCAGCATCTTTAACATTTACTTTCTGTTTTACAGGTGGTTACTTGGCATTCCAAGCCATGCATCCCTCTCTGTGTGAGAACAAGTCCAGCAACAACTACAAATGTACCCCCCTCACCTCCCTCTCGCAGCCCTGCATGCCCGTGGCCAACATCGGCCCCACACGGATCCTTCCATTCCTTTATCTCGGATCACACAGAGACGCCATGTCTCAGGAAACTATACAGGTTAGTTTTGTATCTCAGATGCCATGTCTCAGGAAACTATACAGGTCAGTTTTGTATCTCAGATCCCATATCTTAGGAAACTATACAGGTCAGTAGACATTTTCACAAAAAATCTCAAGTTTTTGCGTAAGATTTTAACTTAAGAATCTCTTACGACAAATCTTAAGTGCTTTTCACGAACGCATTCGTAGCAGATTGAACTTAAGATTTTACTTACGACAGACTTCATACCTAGCAACGACTTCAATATGCTTTATAATCCTTAAATAAGTGGGTGAAAATAAAACTAAAACTTAGTTTTCAACATTTGTCAGCATAACAAACATTATTGACAATAAATATCGAAAGCAATTGTTTGTGAAGCAAGGAATTAGTTAAAAATCTGACGTCACAATCACAAGTCTGACGTAAAAGTAGGTCATACGAAAATCTTAAGTGAAACTTACATCGTAAATATTTTGTAGTGTATTTTATCTAATTTTTCGACAATGATTGTGAAAAAATATAAAATATTATTGTAAGTTGCTTTACAACGTTCAATTTAACGTGTATTTTGGTTTTTGCGATTATATTTTTACAATAAAATCGGTTTTAAAATACTTAAGAGAGGGTTGGGGCTCTCGTAAAGTTACGACAGATTTTGCACTTACGATTTTCTTAAGAATTTTTGTGAAAATGATTTTTATCATAAGTTTTCACTTAAGATAAAAATATGTCGTAAGATTTTTTGTGAAAAGGGCTACAGTTTTCTATCTCAGCTCACACAGAGATGCCATGTCTCAGGAAACTATACAGGTCAGTTTTCTATCTCAGATCTCATATCTCAGGAAACTATACAGGTCAGTTTTCTATCTCAGATCCCATATCTCAGGAAACTATACAGGTCAGTTTTCTATCTCAGATCCCATATCTTAGGAAACTATACAGGTCAGTTTTCTATCTCAGCTCACACAGAGATGTCATGTCTCAGGAAACTATACAGGTCAGTTTTCTATCTCAGATCTCATATCTCAGGAAACTATACAGGTCAGTTTTCTATCTCAGATCCCATATCTCAGGAAACTATACAGGTCAGTTTTCTATCTCAGATCCCATATCTCAGGAAACTATACAGGTCAGTTTTCTATCTCAGCTCACACAGAGATGTCATGTCTCAGGAAACTATACAGGTCAGTTTTCTATCTCAGATGCCATATCTTAGGAAACTATACAGGTCAGTTTTCTATCTCAGCTCACACAGAGATGTCATGTCTCAGGAAACTATACAGGTCAGTTTTCTATCTCAGATGCCATGTCTCAGGAAACTATACAGGTCAGTTTTCTACTCTCAGTGGAAAAATGTGTCCCTTAATTAAACTCAGCAGTACAGTTCTTGATTGAACCTTGTTGCCTCAAACCATAAAAGTCTCTTCTTAATATTTTTTTCTTTTTAAAGTAGTTCTAAAAAACTCTGTTAAATATACAGATCATCTGTTACAAAGTAAGATTATCTTGAACCAATTATGATACAGGTCAGTGGTCATCCTCTACTACACAGTTGTGTCCCCTTTTTCCTTATAAATCAGTTATTTCCCTTTGTTAGAGCTCTATATCTCCTTCAGTTGACTTCTTTAGTTAGAGAACCATGTTTCCTTAAACTGCGAAAATTCAGTTTTTTCCCTTTATTAGGGTATATTGTCCCCTTAAGAAAGAGCCATACTCGGGTTATTTTCTGAGGACAATTTTTCCAGCTTTATAATAAACATTATTTAACTAACTCACTTAAAACATATTTAATGGGAAAAAAGCCATTGTTGTCGTATTATTTTTTTAGCAGTGCCACTTAAAGTCAGGGGTACAGTCTGACCCTGCTGTGGCAAAATCAGCTTCAGATAAATTTATCGTGAGCTATATATAAAACAGAAGAAACAAGGAGAGAATCATATATAATTAATTTGACTTAAATGATACATTACTATAAATATTTTTTATAGATTTATTTTTGTTAAAATGTTGAAAAAAATCAAAAAAATTAAAGTCATATACTCTACATCGATGATGCAGTATACCCTAGCTGTACATTCCTGTATAGTTTATCAATTTTCACACATGTAAATGTTTTAATTTCAAATATGTTAGTAAATCTCTGAGAAAAATCCAAACAGCTAGGGAAAATATGTTATTGAGCTTACAAATATGTTTCTTTAAATATATGTTTTAATTGCATCTATTAAAGAGGAATGTTTGTTTTAACTTCTAAATTATAAAATATTGACTTTTTTGCATTAAGTCTCTTTTTTTTATGAATGTTATTTCTAAGTAGAGAAATTGAAAAATTTTAAATAATCAATTGTATACATTTGTCTATTTTTTCAAAAAATCAAATCTTGCCAAAGTTTTTAGCCTGTGACAAGACAGTCCTAAAGCACTTTGACACAGATCAAAATCTCATTACATGTATAAGGATAGTGTGCATTCTTTGCACAACTTCGAAAACACATAGCCAGTTTTTTTTTCCCACCTGTATTTTAAAAGCAGCCATTTTCAATCATTTTGGGAAGAATTTTATTTTGAAAACAATTGGGAAAATATAGTTAAATTTTGAAAATTTTAAACTCTGTACGACAGGAGTGGGTTTACAATTTGACATCAGATGAGTATAAGGATTCACTTTTAGTCACAAGTTTAAGTTCTTTCCCTTTAGATAAGGAACCAAGTTTCCTTAACTATAACTGGACAGTTTTTTTCCCTGTTGCCTTAGCAATGATGGTCAATACTTTCCCTTAATCAGAGTATATTATCTCCCTAATGTAAAGTACCAAAGATTATATGTATTGTGATGATATAGATAAGTTCAACAGAGTTAACAAGACAAGATATGACACTGCTTTTTGTGTGTCTCTTTCTGACAACTCTCAGAAGTGACATACACTACTGCTGGTATCCTGATTATTTGAAGTTTTATAAAGAAAGAAATGAGGAGGATTTTCAAAGAGAAATTTTTTATGTAAAGGACTAATGCTGCAAAAACTTCAATAACAGAATCTATATAGAAATTTTTAAAAGAGAAAAAATTGCTATTTTTCACAATTCAGTATCATAATGTTTTTCTTTAGCATGTTTAGTGTGAATAATTGTTAATGAATGATTCATAAATACCCAGAAATGAATGAATAAAAAATAAGTTCTCTGAAGAAGAGATTATTTGATACTGGTAAATAATTAAATAGAATTTTATAAAAATCAGTAATCATTACATTTAACTGTGAATAATAGGAATGAGCTTGTAGGTGGGTGAATGGTATTGTCCATACCATTGTCCATATTTACTAAATCAGAGAGTTTGTAAATGATGAAGGATATTAGATGACTGGTGTAGTTTGCTGTTTCAGATCACAATATACTGTTGACAAGGTATTGGGTAGATACAAGGATTTATATGTAACAGTAGCTCTGTACCTAAACAAATCAATACACTGGCTCTCACATATTGAAAGTGATCAATGTATAAAACAGCTCATCTGTCATAGGAAAGCTTGACTAATTGTAACGGTGTCAATTGATGCAGGAAGGCATTGTCCAATGAAAAAGAGGCCACTGATCTCTAGTAATTAGCCCTCGATTTATTAATAAATAAAATGATCAATTTACGAGGAGGCGGCAGTTTTTTTTTTCAACACTCAATAATTAATTACACAGGGGATACAAGTGAAAGAGATAACTGTTAACATTTAAATGAAATTTTACTTTGTTTACTTAGTGTGAAAATTAGTATGAAATAGACATTTAAAGTTTTTAAATAAAAATCCTATTATCAAAGACAGTATTTTTCTTTCACAAATAATTTAATTTTTTAACTTCCATATTTTAAGTGTTTTGTCATTGACGACAAGAAAAATAAGTTGTTCAAGCAGTTCCACGAGATTAACAATTGTTACAGACATGACAGATCAGAAAATGCATGTAAATTTTTGGGATTGAAATTTTAAAAGATATTTTACCAGCCTATTTAAGAATAACAGTGAGATTTATATAATGACGGAGGGCTGTCTGTGAGAATAATGAATGGCAGTACAGTTGGTACCGTTAGCTGTTTGTTTGGCGTGTTGTACTAGTTGATGACCCTGTTCTTTAGGAAATAACTAACGTAATCAAGCCATCATCATATAATGCTTCTCTGTGACAGAATGTAAACACATATTACTCATCCGTCAATCCCCATGTTTTTTAAATATCTTGATCTCTATTACAGTTTTATGTGAATTTTTGATGACGTAGAATTTATAAGGAAGTTTATTGGAACATGAAAACTGTTTGTTGTTGAACTGTACAAAGAATTAGTCATTGTTTTATTTCCATCTGTTATTTGGTCAAGTGATTTCATTGTAATAAGAGTTATATATAGCAGTATATATTTCTGGCACCTCACTGCATTGGTTAAACTTACAGAGTGCTTTGTTCTTAACTTCAAATCTAAAAATAATTTAATTGTAAGCACCCCTAGATTTGGTTATTTTACATGTTATTGTAAAACTTCAGACAGATTTAAGATTTAAAAAAAAAAATACTGTAATTGAGGAAATAGCATGTAGAAACATTTAAAACCTTTTTTTTTTAATGAATTAAATGTGCATGAATATGATTGGCCACTTGAAATGTTTTTACTTTTTTTCGTTCTCTTGCTTATAGAGACTTTGCATTTATGTCTTCAAAGAGCTATATGTAATAAGTGTCTCAAATGGCCCCTAAAAATGAATATCTTGATTTTACTGTATATATAGGTTTACTTTGTACAGCTATACATGTGTTGTTTATTCGTTTTCATATATATTTAAGAGTATAAATGTTGTCCTTGATGTGTTTTACAGATTAATGACATATCCTATGTCCTCAATGTCAGCATCACCTGTCCCAAGTCTCCATACGTACAGGACGGGCATTTCCATCGCATTCCAGTCAACGACAACTACAGTGCTAAGCTGTTACCATTCTTCCATCAAGCATTCCAATTTATAGGTAAATCACAAAATTAGGTCATGATAGGTCAATAGATAGGTAATAAAAGCACCATAAGTAGGTCACAACATGACTGGAATTAATGCACAGTTACTAAAAGTGGATCAATATAGATTAATAAATAGGTCATAGCAATTCCATAAGTAGGTCATAACATGACTGGATTTAATTCATAGGTAGCTCACAATTACCAAAACTAGGCCTTGATTGTACCAAAAGTAGGTCATGACAATCCTATAAGTAGGTCACATGACCAGATTCAATTCAGGAAAATCACACAATTTCTAAAGTATGTCATGATTGAACTAGAAATGTGTCACTTAAAATGGTGGATTAATTCATAGGATAAAAGTCATGGGGTAATGACTAACAACCTAGCTCAGAGTTCATTAGTCAGGCTCTTAATAGTAAAGAACATGGTAATAATCATCTTCGCTAGCCAAGGGTTTCTGATACGCTACTCTCCTCATAAACCCTTGGCATACGGTGCTGATAAAAGATGGGATTGTTTTTGTCACGTGATCATGATTCTTACCAGGTACGCACAGATTGCGTCATCGACAGAAATAAAAAGCGTATTTAAAAAAAAATTGTTTTTAAAGAATAATTAACAAAAAGGTATCGAGTTATGTTAATTTGTTATTTAAACATGTAAAAATGCAAATCTACATCTTCAGTATAGATTCTTAATCATGTATTTTGCACGTAGCTTTAGATATTGGATGACACCATATAGCTATTCATAGAATGGCATGTTATCTTACGGATCATTGTTTACTTGCGTTTTACATTACCGATATTAAAGAGTCAAAATATATCCCGAACGCAAATATCGTCATTCACAAAAAACAATTGCTGATTGGTCGAACGATGTTGATCAACTCCAATCACAACTTGAGGAAAAAATCCCAACTTTTTTTAACACCGTATGCCAAGGGCTTATGAGGAGAGTAGCGTATCAGAAACCCTTGGCTAGCAATAGGGGTGAAACGATACACCTCCTTCACGGTTCGATACGTATTGTATAATTTTGACTCGGTTCGGTTATTTTCGATACGATACATTTTGATAGAAGGAAACAAATTCAACGTTGTTTTATGCTTTCTTTTTCTAAATCTAGTCACATATTTTACGAATTTTATTTGCAAATTGACTAGAAGAAATTGATTAAAATTATTTGACTGTCAAAAATTATTTTACAAGCTATCAGTCATCAAAAATTTATGTTTTCTATGCTTATTCGTGTTTTACCTTATGCCTAATCTCTATTGAGATTCTGCTGGGCTAGATATTTGGACTGACGCCCACAGAATCTCTAGACAACCACTCATAATTCATGTCTGGAAATCAAGCCCCAACTTCGGCCGACTATAGCAAGAATTATTCACCTAGACCACACTGCCGTTCGCTTCAATTAAGTCATTTGGTTGATTATTTGACTCTCTGTCACTATCATTTCCAAATTGCTTACCGTTTAGGCATGTAAATCCCAACATAAAAATATTCACTGAAATCTCCGTTCGAAATATGGCTCCTTTGACGAAATTGTTTACCTCCTCACATAAAAGAGTTCCTATAGTTTGTTTTTACCCTATGTGATTATGAACTAATGTCTACTATGGCTATTGAACATCACATAAAAGAAAACGGACTATAGGAACTCTTTTATGCGAGGAGGTAAACAATTTCGTCAAAGGAGCCATATTTCGAACGGAGATTTCAGTGAATATTTTTATGTTGGGATTTACATGCCTAAACGGTAAGCAATTTGGAAATGATAGTGACAGAGAGTCAAATAATCAACCAAATGACTTAATTGAAGCGAACGGCAGTGTGGTCTAGGTGAATAATTCTTGCTATAGTCGGCCGAAGTTGGGGCTTGATTTCCAGACATGAATTATGAGTGGTTGTCTAGAGATTCTGTGGGCGTCAGTCCAAATATCTAGCCCAGCAGAATCTCAATAGAGATTACCTTATGCCAAACCCGACTGAATAACGATCCCGACCGAAAAATGAACCGAACCGAAAATTAGAGATTTTGCACCGTGTATCAAACCGAGAAAAAATACCGCGGTGAATCGATACCGCGGTGAACCGTTTCACTCCTAGCTAGCAAAGATGGGTTATAATAATATTTGACAAAATTGAAACTCTGTGCAAGCAATCATTTTCTTGTGACCATAATTACGTACAGACAAAGGAAGTTCGATCAGTATAAATCCCCCCCGCCCCCCCGCCCCCCCCCCCCCCCCCCCCCCCCCACAAAAGAAAAAAAAACATGGTATACAAGATGTCCATGAGAGATATAATGTTATGGAAAGCTCATCAGTACAAAGCCACACCTCTGTCTAAAGGGTTTAATGTAATTGTAAATGAAAAAGTTAACACAGCTATTTATATGTACAAAAGCAATATAATCTACACCAGAAGAGCTACAGTCCTGCTTCAGACATGAGTTTTATCAATGAATTTAGCTTTGAAACTCTTCATATACGGTTATAATCCCATTAACACCCACAGATAGGGCTAATTTACTAGTGTGATATGTCACTGCAAATTGACAGCCATCTTTTTTTTCCTCAAAAAATAGATTTTCTGTCCATTTTCCCCTGCAGTATATTGAATTATGAGGTGTGATAATTAGATTTTGATGTCCAGGCCTGATTTTTATTCTGATGAGGATTAACTCTCCTGCTGTCTTCCTACAATAGCATCATTGTTCTTTTGTTTGGTTCCCATCTCTTAATGAGGACTTTAAAAAGTGGGAGTCCTACCCTTTGTGACACAGAACACCACAATAAATATCAAAGAAGCTTTAATACAATATATATATATATATTATATACTGCTTCTGGAGCTCCCAGAGTCAATAAGTGAACATTTTTGTTTGCTTCAAATATTAATGTTAAGCTTACAATTTGCACTAGCCAAACAGTTCCTGAGTTGAATTTCTGAATGCAGTGGAAATCAATATAGTTTATACTGCCAGAGTCTGCACAAGATACTAATATTCCAGGAAACTGGGTTCCATTGCATAATCTTAAAATCTAGGTCAGAGGGGTGCTTAAAGGGTGAATACGGTAAAGGAAAAATCCAGTGGTATATTAGAGAAACTGATTAGTTAGGGATTATATTGTGAATAAAAATTTTAAAGCTCATAAAGTAAGGATGTTAAAAATAACCAAGAGATCCAGAATTTAATTGAAGATTGTGACCTAGATAACTTTTCCACTTGTCAAGATTTTCCCTTCAGTCATCTTAATCATGTATTACAACCCTAAACACAGAAAACAAGCATTATAGAGACCGAGATGATTTAATGATGACAGATCTCCTATTACAATGTCACACACGACTATTTTGTAGCAGTAATTATGTGAATCATATAATGATTAATGGTTTGTTTTGATGGTAGAATTCTCGAGGTTTTTTGTTATTATTGTAAATTAGAGACCTGATGTTGATCAATGCAGAATTTAATCAGTTGTTTAGTTGTGTTATTTTGCCTGTATGTGGTGCACTGTCATGTTGTCTTTTATCTGGTACACTGTCATGTGTATTATCTGGTGCACTTTCATGTTGTCTATTATCTGGTACACTGTCATGTTCTGTTATTTGGTATGCTGTCATGTTGTCTATTATCTGGTACCCTGTTATGTTGTCTATTATCTGGTACACTGTCATGTTGTCTATTATCTGGTACCCTGTTATGTTGTCTATTATCTGGTACACTGTCATGTTGTCTTTTATCTGGTACCCTGTTATGTTGTCTATTATCTTGTACACTGTCATGTTGTCTGTTATCTGGTACACTGTCATGTTGTCTATTATCTGGTACACTGTCACGTTGATATAGTCATGTCTGGTACACTGTTATGTTGCCTGTAATATGGTATGCTGTCATGTTGTCTATTATCTGGTACACTGCCATGTCTGGTACACTGTTATGTTGCCTGTAATATGGTATGCTGTCATGTTGGCTGTTATCTGGTATACTGTCATGTTGATAGTCATTTCTGGTACACTGTCATGTTGGTAGTCATGTGTGGTACACTGTCATGTTGATAGTCATGTCTGGTTTTATTGTTTGAAATGTAACCACTGTGTTGTTTTTCTCTGTAGATATGGTGAGGAAGGACAGTGGTTGTGTGATGATATGATTTATAACCACTGTGTTGTTTTTTCTGTAGATATGGTGAGGGAGGCTAATGGTTGTGTGATGATACACTGTCTGGCCGGTATCTCGAGGTCTCCCACTCTGGCAATTGCCTACGTTATGAAGTATTTACACATGTCATCAGATGATGCCTACAGGTATGGATAATTTGTTTTTCTAGTCAAACTTCAATGACATAAAATTGTGTTTTGTGTAAATATACATGATTAAGGAGTACAATAAAACTGTTACAGCAGAGTGATTTTCATTAACTGTAGTTTTAAAACGTATTCATGGATATGACCAATTACATTTATAACTTACCAATATTGCTCTTCCCAGGCTTTTCGCTATAAGCATGTTTTACTGTTTACAGAATCTGCCATTCTTAATGTCATCTGTTTATAACTATACACCTCCATATTTACCTCTTATATCAGGTACGTGAAGGACAAACGTCCCACCATCTCGCCAAACTTTAACTTCCTTGGGCAGTTACTGGAGTACGAGAAGTTTATGAAGCAGGAGGAGGAGGCTGTGAAACAGAGGCGGGATTCCGGGGGATCTCTCAGTGACGGAAAATCAACACCTATCATCATGGACCTTCAGACATGTAGCCCTTCATCTCCAATCGCGAAAGTGACAAAACCGTTCTCATTCGATACTCAGTGGACTCCTCGCTCCCTCGAATGTGATCTGAAGCGTGACACAAATGACAACCTGCCATTATTGGCTGATTCGGACACATGGGACAATTATCAGTGTGAAGCATCGAATATGGAGATGGACTTCCCAGAGAAGAAAAAATTCAGTGACTCTGGTATGTTGTGTAGTAATTTTCTCCCTCCCTCAGATAATGCCCCAGTGACACCTAGTGCTGAGTTACCCCCCTTTCCTTTTGGTGATTCAACAATCAGCAATGGACATCAGTCTGACTCACAACAAGACCTAAAAATTCAAAAAGATTGCAAGAGGAAATCACCCTCCCCAGCCCCTAAGTCTCCTGTGAGCAGATCTTTCACCTTATCATTAAGTCCTGTGTCTCTTCCCTCAGAAGGAGTTAACGCCTCCAGGGACAGAAAAAGATCTTTGGGATCCCCAATGACAAAACCACCCAGCCTGGTGTCTCCTTTATCAAGATCTCCTGGGAAAACCTTTGTCAGACCATTCAGTCTGCCCCTATCTCCTGTTCTTTCCCCAGGATCACCAGAAACCAGCGAATCTGCCAACTCGGATCCACTCATCAAGGATTCATCCAGTCACCAACAGGAGGTGTCTGCTCAAGGGCATGATGGGAAGGTGGCAGCTGTGACAAAACCATTCTCATTACCATTATCTAGTGTGAATGTTCCTGATGCTGGGGACAGTGTTAGTAACCAGCAGAAAAAATTCAAACAAGAGAGAAACTTCTCCTTACCACTGACATCTCACTCTCAGAAGGAAGGATATCAGTCAGAACAGACAGCTGGTAAATCTCGTCCATTTGTTCTACCCATATCACCTCTTGTCTCCTCGGAAAAAAATTTATCTGTCCTGGAAATCACCTCATCTTCATCTTCAGGTGCACCGACTCCGATTAAAAGTCCATCAAGGTCATTCACACTACCACTGTCTACAGTCAGTCTACAAAAGAATCAGGGACACAAGCCAGCAATGGATTTACCTAGTCCATGTCAACCAAGTCCATGTCTGGAATTACCCAGTCCATGTAACCCAGATTTGACATTGTTAACTAGAGTGACAGAAAGCACATCGTTGTCAATGTCATATGATTCACACACAAGAAAATCTCAACCAAAACTTGATCTCAGTTTGTCTACTATCTCCCCCGTGTCTCAGTCAAAGAGTTGTGAAACCTCAGGGGCTGCCCTCCCCTCCTCATTAACACGATCCACTCCTCATGTAACATTACCCCAAACCCTGAGTTTACCTTGTAGAGCCTCTGAGTTGCGAAACCAGACATCACAGACGATATATTCACCCTCTGCTGCCCTCGCTGACCTACATTTCAGTCAGTCGATCCCAGAGAAAGCGGACAAACCGACCCCACTGCAACAATTCCCATCTACCTCTCTCCACAAGCTTGACTTCACTCCTTGTTTTGCAACAGAAAACAAAACCAAGGAAACTGTGTGTTCAATGGATGTTTCTTCAGATCCTAAAGATTCAGTGGATTTGACTTCTCCAATTTCTAGTAGCTCGACTTGTAGTTCAACTGTAACCTCACCTCTGGGTCACCAAGTCACTCTTAGAGTAAAAGAAAATAGGGCAAAGAGACCTCTTATACGACCAAACAGTATTGCATTCTCCAAATATCCGACCTTTGACCTTGGGTCAGACTGTCAGGAATCACCGAGTTCGGCAAGTAGTACATCACAGGACGACTCTGCCGATACCTATCTTGTACAAAATGGAAAGCGCTCAAAGGCTTCAGAATCGCATGTGGGACGCTATACAGAGCGGGATGTGTATCGACAAATCACCGCAGCGATGGAAAGTGCAATGTTCAGAACACAAGTGTATGAGGCGAGTCGTAAAGCCCGTAGCCTGGATGATATGCTAGCTTCAGGAGAAACAGTGTCTGGGAAATCCTCAGGATCTGTGTGTTCTCCATTTGGGAAATTTCAACTGCGGTGTGGCTTGGGACCAGAAAGATTTAATTCTCCAGGAGCGTACGAAAACTTGCCATGTCATGCATCAAAGGATGTGTACCAGTCCAGTAGTAGCATATCTTCTAATGGCAGTCATGGGTCATTGCACGGGAGCCTGGAGATCATACAGGTATCCTAGCAACCGTGTGATGCATGCCGACCCCTTCTGTATTGTTTTGGTTTGTGATTATGTTCCCTGATCTTGGTGCTACTTTTGATGTATGTTTATATTATTTGAATTTTTTGTTTATTTTTTCCTATGTAAAACTTGTGTTTTTCTCCATTTCAAATTATTCTCACTGCATGTCAATGTAGTATCTATAGTAGAGATACAAAGTGGGCAATTTTGATTTTTTTTTTCTCTAAACATGGTAAAATTGTTGCATTCTGTGAAAAACGTAGATATGCTTTTTTTCTTTGGAAAGGAACATTAATTTACACTTTGCTGTAAAATTTATGTTTGACAGTTGATTTTACCTCTATTAATGATTTCTTTTTTAAATACATAAACTGTTTCATATTAATTTTTAAAATGGATCATGTCAAAAGTCATATATACATTACACATATGTAAAACTGCACGAAATAATTTGTTTTGGTCAAGAATTATAGACAACTCTTGTAGAACTAGTACATTATATGACGTTTGACTGATCTCGCTTCTCTTTGCTCCAATGCTGAAGTGCTTTTTTTCAGTTTTATTTTCTTTGTTTTGTTTTCTGCTGCATGAAGTTATGGTAAAATGGAATCATTTGTCATCATTAGAACCTTTATACTTTCATCTTCTCCTCGTTAGATGGTAGTTTTTGACATGGGAATGTACCTTCCCGAGACGTAATTGTAGATTTTAAGAGTTACAAAAAGTAATTCCTATGGAATAAGACAAGTGTCTTTACAGAGTTTACACAATGCTGTCAGTGTTTGTCTTTAAAAGGCTTCCTGCTTTTTATGAAGGATATTGATTTATTTTAAGGTAGACTGCCCTCAGACAATGTTCCATAACTCTTGACACTTAATATGATTTCATACTTTCATACTCGTGGCTTAAATTTTAGGCATTTAGTAGTCTTAATAAAATCTTGAATTTATTTTGAACTTAATCTGAAAAGTTCTTTTAAATTTTTTTTAAAGATTTATTCAACATCTATAAATTGACTCTGTCCAGGTTCATGAAACATTGCTGATGACTGGAAAGAGTTTGTGGAATAATATATTACAAAGTGTAAATTTCATATTTTGTTCACTGGTCAATAAAATATGTATAAAACAAGGCTACATTTTTTTCCCTGTTTGCTATTAAAGGTTGGGGAGTGTCCTAAAAAGCGACGGAAAACATCAGAGAAATAATGGGTAAGGGGCAGATAACTGTTGTCCTATAGATGTTGTGGGAAATGTTTTGTTCTGATGTTGTAATGTTTCAGTGTTGAGTTTCTATTTCAAATTATCCTCTTGAAAGGAGATATGAGGCAAGATGCTTACTAGACAGGACACTTTACATATAAACTGGACTGAAACCTCTTAAGTCCTATTCATGGTTGATTTGAAAGGTTATACAGCCTAATAAAATAGCTTGACAATATACCCTGCTTTGAAATAAAAAAAAAAATATGGCTCTGAATTATTTTACATTCTTACTGCTATTGCTGATGTTATTATCAATATGAGCCGATTCCCATGAATTAAATTCAGACCTGTTCATTTTAATGCTTTTGCTGTATTTTTTTAAAAATAGATTTACAGCTGAAAGACATTTTACAGATTGAGTTGACAAAAATACGTTGTAAAGAAGCTTTGAGTTTGAATTCTAATGCTAAATACTTACAAAAATATTTGATGTGTTGCTTCTTGGAATGGAATTAAAACTTTAGGAATTCGTTTTTCATTTAAAAGCTGAAATTTTATTGTTTGAATGATTACATATATATATACTTTGTAAAAGCTGATTATTCATGATACCAATAGGTAATGATTGTTATGATTTCTTCAAAATCACTTTATTGGGCATTTTCATGTCTAGATATCTTGCTGAGAATGGAAAAATCTTGCTGACAAAAGGCAATTTTAAATCTAGAATCTTGCTGACAAATCTAGAATCTTGCTGACAAATCTAGAATCTTACTGACAAATCTAGAATCTTGCTGACAAATCGGGAATCTTGCTGAGAAATCACTGGGGCATCTTACCAACTCTGTTCTCTCTTTCACATATAACGTGCATTTTACGTATTTATTATTTGTGAAATGGAGAACAGAGCAGATAAGATGCCCCTGTGAATAAATATATATTTGAATGAATGAAAAATGATTAGAATATGAGAGGAATTTTTAGTGCCTTATTAAAACCATCCTCTGTGTTTTTACCTTAAATAAATAAAATATGATTTAACTGGTCCTGCAACCATGTATTATAAGCTAAGTTACATGTACTCATATTTACACACTATAAGATAGGATAATGTTTGCAACACAAACTAGAATAATATTAACATCATTATCTATTTACATCATTTTATTTAACTTAAATGATATTTGCAGTATAAGCTATGAATTTGCAGTATAAGCTAGGATGATATTTACAATATAATCTAGGATAATATTTACAATATAAGCCATTCTTTCTTATATGCCAGGTTATATTTTTTTTTCAGCAATAGTTGCAACCGTTAAAACCAGAATCAGCGAACAAAGAAAGTTTTCTATTGCTTAAATAAATCGGTACACTATATACAATATAATCCAGGATAATACTTAGTATAATACATAAAATTTAAGCTGGATACCTACAGCGTATTTAGAGACAGATGAGTGTGTTCTTGTCTAATATATTTTCATTGAGTGGATGTAAGGGGAACATAGAAAATTTGACTTCAGATATAACAAACCGTTCAGAAACTGTTTTGTTGTACCTTCTATTTACATGTAACTGAAGACTATTAGAGTTCACAAGTAAGACAAACACTTATTCAACAATTTTTTTTTTAAAAGAAAGTCAGATTTAAAAATTCATCACTGAAAATGTTAGGTTATAAATAAATTTTTTCACTGAAGAAAGCTTGTTTAAAAATCAAAATTAAATTTTATTCAGTTTCAATAAAAGTTCCCATCTTTATATATGAAAAGACAACTTTTTTTTTTTACATTAATCATGAGTGCCTCATCACAACCAAAATTAGCGACTCCAATTGGGTTATTGTCCAATGATTTTGATATTGGACTGATATCAGCATCATAGATAGCTCTACATTGGTCCAATATCAAAATTACTGGACGGCTCCCCTTAACATCGGCTTAATTGTGTTCTTTATCAAGAGTTTTTATATTGTAATATTGCTCAAATATTGATAAGGATAGAACAACAAATTAGTATTTTGCTGCATTAAAGGTGAATACTGATGGAGTCCTAGGTACAACAGTTTGCAATAACATTTATAGAGTGTTGTCATTCGTACTTTTTAGCTCACCTGAGCCGAAGGCTCAAGTGAGCTTTTCTGATCACATTTTGTCCGGCGTCCGTCTGTCTGTCTGTCTGTCTAGCTGTTCGTCTGTCTGTCCGTCTGTCTGTCTGTAAACTTTTCACATTTTTGACTTCTTCTCAAGAACCACTGGGCCAAATTCAACCAAACGTGCCACAAAGTATCATTGGGTGAAGGGAATTCAAGTTTATTCAAATGAAGGGCTACGCCCTCTTTCAAGGGGAGATAATAAGGAATTTGTAAAAAATAAATGTCATTTAAAAATCTTCTTCTCAAGAACCACTGGACCAGAAAAGATGAAACTTATGTGGAAACATCCTCAGGTAGTGTAGATTCAAATTTGTTCAAATCATAACCCCGGGGGTAGGGTGGGGCCACAACGGGGGATCAAAGTTTTACATAGATATATATAGGAAAATATCTTTAAAAATCTTCTTCTTAAGAACAACAAGGCCAAGATTGGTCATATTTATATGGAATCATCCTCAGGTAGTGTAGATTCAAATTTGTTCAAATCATGACCCCCGGGGATAGGGTGGGGCCACAATGGGGGATCAAAGTTTTACATAGAAATATGTAGAAAAATATCTTTAAAAATCTTCTTTTTAAGAACAACAAGGTCATGATTGGTCATATTTATATGGAATCATCCTCAGGTAGTGTAGATTCAAGTTTGTTCAAATCATGACCCCCAGGGGTAGGGTGGGGCCACAATGGGGGATCAAAGTTTTACATAGAAATATATAGGAAAATATCTTTAAAAATCTTCTTCTTAAGGTCAGCAAAGCCATGATTGGTCATATTTATATGGAATCATCCTCATGTAGTGTAGATTCAAATTTGTTTAAATCATGACCCCCAGGGGTAGGGTGGGGCCACAATGGGGGATCAAAGTTTTACATAGAAATATATAGGAAAATATCTTTAAAAAAATCTTCTTCTTAAGGTCAGCAAAGCCATGATTGGTCATATTTATATGGAATCATCCTCAGGTAGTGTAGATTCAAGTTAGTTCAAGTCATGACCCCCCCCCCCCCCCCGTAAACTTTTCAATACTAAACTGATTTTTGCTTTTTTTCCTACCCAATGTGCCCAGGTGAGCGATATGGTCCATGGGCCTCTTGTCAATATCATTTATCCTCTTTCATTGTGCACTGAATTCCATTTAGACAAAATCTTAAATAAATTAATTAGTATAGATCTGTAATTTGATATTGGATGCTTTGGGTTGTCTTACGTCTTATTGTTGTCCATATTCAAAATCAGCAAAACAGATTTAATCTAAACACCAGATAGTTGTACCATGCAGGAAAATAGATTTGATGAAAACTGATGATTTGAAAGGGGGGGGGGTAGTGTGGAGCACCAATATCCCAATCTTTATAGCATAATAAACCAGATATTTCTAATGTAAGATTTATTTAAATTTGAATTGCAAATAAAGAATCATTAGAACATAAAAACATTCAGAATTTTAGACACAATGCTTTCTTGTGTAAGTTTAATGCAATGACTCAGTTTTCAGTCAGAATTACATTAATTTGATAATTTTGAAACTTATTTATTTGTATTAAACCATTGAATCTTAATTTGTGTATATATAGAAATGAACTGTGAGAGTAGTCTTTGTTCTGTACAGAAATAACCCGTGAATGCCATTATAATAGGGAGTAAATACTGTAATTATAACTGATAAGCACTGTGAAATCACTTATTTGAAGAAACCCATGAACTCATGTCCTTTACGAAATAAAAAAAATTTCACAGGGCATCACTTTTTCAATCACGAAAAAAAAAAAAAAAACCCATGAACCAATATTTTCCCTGAAAGCACGAATATTCGGCCCTCCACGAAAACACGTGATTTTACAGTGTCTGACCCATATACATATATCTAACTACGTGTGTTAATGTATATTTCATTCTGTGAAATTTTAATCCACATACCACTCTGAAATTTTCCTGTACTGTAGGATGACAACGGACTTTGAATCCCACAATGCAACACTTGAAATCAACCAATGAATATAAAGAACAACCAAACAAACCTCAGGAACCTGGCATTTACAGACACCCCCACTGGCCTGTAGAGAGCTCCGTGCCTTACGAAATCCAAATTCTCTGACATGAAGTTTAAGTGAGTAATGAACTATGGAGTACCTCAAGGAGAACCTCTTCATCCCTCACTGTTCAAACAAAGTAGAAATGATGTATGTGGATACCATCTGTATTTCAAACAGTCCAAAAGGTTAAAGTTTTCAGGAGCATTTTTATACAGTTGCATGTATATGACACAGTGTGCATTTTATTGTAAAGTTTGTACATGTGAATGTTCATTCAATCTGTGTTAATTGTTGTGATTAAGTTAGAGTAAGTAATTTTGACAACTTCAAACACAAAACATTTAATCAAGCACATTAAGGTTTACTTTGAACTGTTTACAGTATTTAGGGTTTTAATTATGGGAATAAGTTGTTCCCAAATCATTGTTCAGTATTTGATATGTGATGTTTGTTGTTAAATGTTAAGAATTCTCAGGAAAAATCAAGTTGTAATCAGGAGGAGGAAAGAGGGTTTTCTTTCATTTTATTTTCAAACCTGTCTAACCATATCAGACCAGACAAAGGGGTTTTCATTATTTATAAGAAAGCATTTTTAAATGTCTTTGCAAAAAGGAACTTTTATTATATATTTCAAACATTATATTCTGGCATATATATTCACCTATGTTTCTATTTAAAGTACATTTATTTCTAAACCTTTTGTATTGTGCAATTAGAATTAGAACAATCAGGATCAGGCAAAGATTTTGTGAATGAGGGTTCATTGCAACTTTTTAAATACTTGCAATGTAAATTAATATTGTTTTTTGAACAATCCATTTACACTTGTTAAGGAGGTATATATGCATGTATGTTTTTTTTCCCTGTATATGAGAAAAAAAATACAAAACTGCAAATTAATACATCAACTAACCTGCTTAAGATTCATAAATATAATGAAGGAAATTACATCAATTTGTTAAGAATAAACGGTCATCATGGTTATCTACTGCCTACAAATCCTTTTTAAAAATGTGCAGCTCTCAAAAAGAATTAAGATTTGTCATTTAAATTCTATAATTATTTTGCTTCAAAATGTTTGATGAGCAAAATGTTCACATATATAAACTAAGTTTTTTTTTTATATATTAAATCACTTATAGAGGAACCAGGAGGACCAGCACCTATTTATAACCTAGCTCTCAACTAGTAATTTATTTTCTCAGTCTTACATCTTAATATTGATTATGGGTATTGTGAGATACACTTCCTGATGTTGAGATGCTGAGTTTGAGATACTGAGTTTGAGATATTTTTCTAGAGTGTCTTAAGGAGCGTGATACTGTTGCATTCAAAGAGTCTTTATGTATAGAAAACTGTGATTGTGTATATATTTCCTGGTGCGTGTTTAGAGTAAGGTTTTCATATTTTCACAGAGTAATATAAACCATGTATATACATGTAGATTTATTTATTCATTTATTTATGTGGACTTCACATTTTGTGTCATCAAGTTCCCGGTTTTATCTTTCATGGTTGTGTTAGCAGAATCTGGTCACAGAAAAGTAACGTCAGTAAATGACAGGACATATTGATGGGAGGGGGAGGGAGTATGGCCATCTTTACTCTAAAGTATAAGCTCAATGGGGTGGGATGGTGTGGGTGGGGTCGGGGTTAAAAGTTTTTAAAATGCTTTATATATACAAATATACAAATGTATGAATTTGATTTAGATATTTCGATGTTTATTTGACCTCAATTGCCATTACATATTACACCAGTGTTAAGATACAAATAGTATCTCAGCAGAAACTTTTATTTGGTCATATTTGAAACATAAAATGATATGGGCATTTTTTTCTTCTGTAAATGTGATAAATAGTACAGTGCAATATTTATAATTACTAAAAAGATTTTACACTTTTTAGGGTACCTGTTGAACTTTGATTTCTTCAATAATGATTGATCTACATTTTTACATCTAATTAGATTATTCTTTTTTATAATTATATCTCCATTCTACATATTGTTGGAAGTTAGATATAGTTTGTTAACAGCTGTGATTTGTTGTACCCCTAACATTATGATATTTAAGGTGGTATACTACCGATATGGCCGCCGATGATATTAAGGTGGTCAACATCTGGTTAGTGACCGCCGATCAGAGACGAACACCATGACGTTTTGTATCTGTAGTAATAAGTTGTTCATCTTGTCTCAGTGAGTTAGTGAGATATGTTTTTTCTATAGTAAGTTTTTCTATGGTAATTTGTAATGTACCTATATTAAAATGTTGTTTACTCCTCCACAACTTGAGTTTTTTTTTTGTTTGTTGAAAAAAAATGAACATTCAATCAAGTTGATGAAACCACTGTTAGAGTGAATTTTTAAGATCAGTATATTATATCGTCGCAAACCACGGCCAAAATAAACGATTCCCTTATTGTTTCTGTGGTTGAATGAGAACATATTTCGAAGCTCATTAAAATACTGATATATGCAAGTAAAGCATAGTCAGAAAATGACACTAAGTCTTGAGGCGACCTTTAATAGTTGCTTACAATGGCAAAGGAAAGAATTATTTTTATTGCATGGTTTAAAATGACGTCACATAATAGGCGTAATGTTTCAATATACGAAACCTTATCTGATCAAGATGCCACGAGTAAGAGAGAGCCGGACTGTGGCTTGATACGATGCTTTGCTTGGCACAGTAAGTATTCAGCAATAATGATTACTTATGGTCAAAGTAATCACCGTAGAAATACTGTTAATGTAAATTTCAAAAATGATTTAATAATATTGCAGACTGGACGAATTTGGTTTGATAGTTGTCGCACGGAAGATAATGTCCAAACACAACTTGACTATATATAGAAATGAAATTCCAAAATTATGCCATGGTAACCTTATTTCATGTTGCGACACACCGTCCCCCAAGATTATCAACTGATAGGGGGCTAGATTTCACAGGGTGAAAGATTAGACAGAACATTCTATCGTTAAAATGATATCCTACGTACCCGGTTTGATTCTTTCCGTATGTTGTCAATGTAGTAGCATGGTTCCCTATTTTTGTTATGCTTCGTGTGCTCTGCAAAAAGTATGAGCCAAGAAACCAGGCTACCAATGTAGGAAAATAAACAGGGACAGATAATGATAATCTAAACGTTTACGTCAAATAATCCAGAGAGTCTGAATATCAACATTGCGTGTGATTTGAAATGAGAAAAACCTAAAGAAATTAAATGAGTTGAATTTTTGTCTTTGTATGGATTATTTATTTATTTATTTATTTTAGGTTTTTAGGGTAAAGGGCATACACAAGCTCAAAAGGTTTGTTATGATTAATTTGGTGATTATTTCAGTGCACATTTGTTCTCCAAAATCTTTTTTGGAGCGGATTCGCTCCGATTTGCTACATGGGAGTGTATAAACTGTGATAAGGACTTTGCAAACAGACATGCAGATTGCTGGGAAAAACCTATTTCATGTTTGAAACAAACAAAAAAAATATACTTGTTAACTTGTGATTTATATGCAAAATCGTGTGAATTATATTCGAAAGTTAAAGTTGATATTCATATTCGAAAACTTGTTTTTCAAATGCAAGAACTTGTTATTCATATTTGACAATATTGTGATTTATGATGAAATTATGATATGAAGGAAAAAACAGTAATCAAGCTCAAAAGTCCATTGAAGCAATACAGGTTGGGAGCAGAGCAGATAAGGACCTCTAGAAGCATCAGATATGGGATCAGGTGTCATAGAGGAGTAAGCATCCCCTGTCGACCGGTCACACTGTTATGATCGTGTAAATGAAAAAAAATCCCTAGACAATTCAGTGTGAAAGTAATGGCTTAACAATTTGTATGAAAAACGTCCGTCAATATAAGACTTAACAATAGATTGTATATGCTGACAAAGTTATCGTATTGACCATAGAATTTGCAAAATGTTGTATTTCAACGAGATAGTTTAAATGTGACATAATTGTGTTTTACATTCAAGAAATGCTATTCAAAAACGTGTGATTTATATGCAAACACTTGTGATTCATATTTGATAATCTTTTGATTTATATGGGAAAAGTTAATATTCATATTCGATAATCTTGTGATTTACATGCATATTTAATTGGTCAGGTAATTCGGATTATGGAATATAAATCACAAGATTATCGAATAGGAATTACAAGATTTTGTATATAAATAATATTAAGTTTTTAAATATAAATTTCAACATCTAGCATATTTATCACATTTATTAAATATGAATCTCATGAATCTTGCACTTAAATAACGTTTTTGAATACACTGTATGAATATCAACTTTTTGCGTTTAAATCATAAGATTTTGAATATAAATCACAAAATTATCAAATTTGAAAAAAAAAGTATTTGCAAATAAATACCAGGAATATGTCTTTCCAATATGAATCACCATATTAAGGATATAAATCACAGGTTTACGAATGATAACACTTTCAATTATGAATCACAAGTTTTGAAATATGAATAGCACGTTTTCAAATATGAATAACAATTACGCTTTCAAATATAAATCAGAAAATTTATCAATTGTAACAAAAGATATGTATAATATTGCAACGTTTTACATGCATTAGTAGCGATGTCTTAGTTTCTCAAAGTACTTTGTAAGCATCACCATCTAATAAATGTTCAAAGTCACAAGCATGTTTCTAAGAAGATTGTCCGGAACTAGAGAGCCACAGCAGTAATCTCACAAAGTTCTGTGTATAAAAAATTGAGTAAAAATAGAATGTATTCTTAATGAAATAGAGCAGTGACAATTAAAAAGAAATGCAGACATTTACAAGTTGGATAATTTTTCTTTCAGTTCATGGTCCACGAGTCTAAAATACATCTATTTATACTGCTTCAAAATGAAATTATGGACTCGTTATTTTGTTCTTTAATTTTGGTAAAAAAATCTTTTGCTTTGAATATTTTGACAATTTTATCTAACCATAGTTTCCTTGTAGAAACTTTCCTCTTCGTTATTTAAATTAACGTCGAAAATTACTCAAAATAATTCTAGATTTCAATAGAAAGGTTTTCATAACAAGTTTTATTGTACTATTGCTTACTGTCACAATTAACGTCCAAACATGATTCCATATATTTTAACATACAATTTTTCGCTATGTAAATAACTAACTTAAATGTCATAACTTTGTTCCATAATATTTTATTTGTTCAGTAGAATTTACTTGGCGGGTTTAAATTCCGTAGTCAGTTTGGGTGTAGCAATTGAGTAGAGCAGTCGCACTTGACTTGCTCGAGTATTGACAATAGTATTCTTCATAAAGTTTTGACCAGACTTCACATCTCTTCTGAGGTAAGTTTGTTTTATTAATTTAAAGGTTTTATCTTATACACTTTCCTGAAATGGCCAAGGACCTTAGTTCTTAATTTTGATGTAAACATGTGATTGAGTAATTTGTGCATTGATCAGCTGTTGATATCATTTCAAGTATTATTCTAATAGTATACAGGTATATTAAAGTATATAGTAGCTACAATGTATGGTGTAATGTACGTGTGTATAGTACACAAATATTTCGTATATTTTGTGGAGTCTGCAGTAAAATGCTGTAGTATTTGCAGTAAAATGCAGTATGCAGTAAAATTCTACAGTATATGCAGTAAAATGCAGTATGCAGTAAAATGCTAAAGTATTTGCAGTAAAATGCAGTATGCAGTAAAATGCTAGAGTATATGCAGTAAAGTGCAGTATGCAGTAAAATGTAAAGTATACAGTGAATGTTATGATATGCACGAGCACGAATTCAGTTAGTATATTTTAGATACAAATGTTATAATGTATGTAATTTACAATAATTTTGTAGATCCCATATGGTCCAGGAAGCCATTCAGCCCAAACAACGAACCATCTTGAAATTTTAAATTTTGTACAAAGCCAATAAATGTAATATAGTCAAAGAACAGTCCTTGTATTCCTTTTATGAGGCGACCATTCGGCCTGCCAACACACTTACATTTTTTTGTTTATTACTGGATATATATATATATATATATATATATATATATATATATATATATATATATATATATATATATATATATATATATATATATATATATATATATATTGAAATATAAATATAAATCCACAATGCTCGGTAAATTATAGGTACAATTTTAAATAATGAAACATGAAAACGTTCAGTAAAGCTTTAGCGCTTTCATTTTTAATCTTCAGAAGCTTTACAATAGGTAACATAGCAACATAACAATGCGGGAAATTTGTAGAATGAAAACAATATGTACAATTGTGATTATGATTACGATAAATTGTTAAGTTTAGGTTTGAAAAAATGTATAAAATGTTTTTCTTTTTCGCGTCTCTGGATGTCACTTTCATTTGAAAGTTTGTGAAAAGGAAATATAGTAAACTGTTTATTTCCACAGCGATCCAAATGCTCACTTAGAGGGATTTGTCGATATTCCGGTTAGTTAATATGTTGTCTGTGGACACGCACACTTACTGACAAATCTAGAATCTTGCTGACAAATCGGGAATCTTGCTGACAAATCAAAGGGGCATCTTACCGACTCCGTTCTCTCTTTCACATATAATATATACATTTTACGTA